TGGAATTACATTAAGTTACTCTCCAAAAGAACCATTGAGGAGGTTCTGACATATACACATACCGTCTCTTATCAGGTAATTGAACGCTTATTGGCTCCTACCAGCGAAGAGATGCTTACCCTGTCAGATGGTCTTTAACGACAATCTTACTATGCCATTCTGTTAACCGAGAATCTGACTCTGATTTTACTCTTTCTTACTATGCCATTTTGCCAACTATGAATCGTATCCGGTTAGTGCTTACCGGGTAAGAGACGATTATGCTAGAGTATTTCAGTTACCAAGGATCTTACCTGGTTAGCTACTATAACAAAATTGGGTTTATAAGACGTTAAAAATTTATATACATCATAATAAACTACTTTACAAGACTTAATTTATAGTCGCAAAAAATAAAACGTCCTACCTAAAGGCGTTCGTAATAAGTTTATAGAACGCTTTTGGGTGCCATAACAAGTTTTTTTGGGACATTTTAATGAAAAAAAAAGTCGTATTAGTTATTTTATATGACATATTTGAAAATGAGATATAGAATCAAGTGTCTTATAAAACGGTGGTTTATAGAACACTTTCTTAAAAGTGTCATATAAAATAGATAATACGACACTATATATTAAAAATGTCCTAAAAAACTTGTTACGATGCATAAAAACATTCTATAAACTTATTACAATGCCTTTAAATATGACGCTTTATTTTACGATGCATAAAAACGTTCTATACACTCTTGGTTTGCCAAATGGAAAAACACCGAGTCAAGGTCTTCTCGCCCATCTTAGACGGCAACCTCACTTGGGCCCACTATCTACTCATATTGGACTATTGGACCTGTCCTTTGCCTTAAATCCCATATGTTATGTATCAATAACCGAAAGAAAATTTGGTATCGTGTGAGATCAGTCTGTTTTCGTAAGACCATTTTTTTACACTTGAACATTCACAGCAAAAAACTGTGAAGGTTGAAGGTTCGGCTTCTTTTTACCTTCACAGCCTTTTGCTATGAAGTTTCAAGTATAAAAAAATGGTCTCACGAAGCAGACTGTTATCAAGTGAACCCAACCAATTGAAAGAATCCGAATAAATAATTAATATCTAATTAATAATTTCTTATTAAATACATTTAAACAGAAGTGGTATATATGTACTCCCCCTATTAAGCAACTATCCATCTCTTCAGCATAAGTTCATATATATAACCATGCTTGCCTACAATGAAGTGCATGTTAATAACATCTCCTTCTCTCAATCAACCGAATTCACATTTCCCGATATCGTAAAACCGAAACATCGTTATAGCCACGATGAAAACGAATACCCTTTCGGCTTTTCACCACCCCTTTGGTCCAAAAACGTTCGTTCTGATTACGCTCGCCCACGATCTCCCGCGGTGGCAATGGCAGAGGGAAGGAAAGAGCTTATGGAAATGACCGATGACTTGCCAGAATCGTGTTACGAGTTGTCGCTTAGAGATATTGTGGCGGAAGATTCGGATGACTTCGGGTTAACGATGGGAGAAATGGTGGATACGAAGCCTAAGGCGAAGGCAAAGAAGAAGGGTCCGATTTCAAGGAGCGTGAGCCTTGATACCGGAGTTTTTCTTCTCAAGATGTTTATCCCGATGAGTTCGTTTGGCTTGAAGAAACATAAGCAGACGTCTCGAAGCATGTCAACGGATGGTTCTAGAAAATATCCCGTCGACGTGAAACAATATTGGAAGACTTGGCTTTTTGTTGAAAACAATAATACCGTTAGTAGCAGATTGTCAGACAATAATAAAGACCGTTCTACTACAGTCAAAATCAGGTACGTGTTTATCAGGAAAGAGTATATTGAAAGAAATCTACGAACGACAATCAATAACCATGTCATTTCTCAAAATTTTGTTTTAAATTTGAAAAATTCACCCTTTCTAGAACCACGGAAACCGCTCTTTCGCTCGAATATTTAATTGAAAAACATGTAACAAGATATATTGTTGATTTTAGTGTCGTCAAGTCATTTAGTATGATCGGGATTAATGTGAGACAAACCGAAATTAGACTTAGCTATAATTCGAGTCTGGAGGTGCAGAGTGCACGCTTAGATAAGTTAAGTTGATCTCAGGAACGCGGTGGGTCCAGGGGCTGGCGGCAAACCAAGAAAATGACACTAATAAGATTCGAATTCGGATCTGAGGTGGGATAAATGTCTTGCAAACCAACTCTACCAAGAAAAGCGTATATCCTTAATGTAGTTTCAAAACACATACAGTGACACTTTTCACGGCCCTATATTTTCTACACTACAAGGGAATAACGAAACAGTGGCACGCTCTACCACAGAATCCCCCACCGTCTGTCCCTGCATTGAGCGTTTTCGTGGTTTGTATTTCGTTATAAGTGGGGTCCATGACACTGACATCGTTAAAATCAGTATATTTATTTAAAAGAGAGATTATAATTTATTTTGTTACATTAATATTCATGGTGGGGTTGTTGTTCATGTAGGTATGGAAGATATTGGTTCACAAGTAAATCAACAAACCAAAAGGGATGCATCTTCTTTTGAGCATTGAAAACCTCAACAACCATAACTTATTCACATGTGATTAGGTTTTTGGAAAATCAGTTTCATTCTTATATTCACATGTTTGAATAAAAGATTAAAAGAACTCGAAATCATGTCTGGTTAGTAGTTATCGGGTGTTTCCCGAACCAATCGGACCAAAATCAGATCTAGCTAATCGCGTCGTCCCACTACTATCTATAAACTAGATTTGTTCACGGGTATGGGATGATCCGCTAGACCCGTCATGTCTGGCCTGCTAGAAAAGTGGACTTGGATTACCATTCTTTTTTTGTACAACTATACAACAATTTCATCATACGGACATGTATTTTTAACATAAAAGAAATACAAATATATATTGTTTAAATTTTATTTATATGTTTAGAAATATGAAAGTTATTGCTTTCCGATACACCGTTTGCCACCAAACGGGTAATCAGTAGAAGTATATCTATGAATCTATGATGCCTTATATATAACTGAAACATGTGAAAGAAAGTCTGGTTTAGTTCTTGTATGGTGTAACGTTCTTTTTCTCAGTTGTTAAAAAAGGAACCCTTAGGTCTTTTCTGTTTTTTTACCTATTCTGATCGATAACATACATACTGATTTTGTAAAATCTGATAATATATATGTCAATTCTCAATTATATTGTGAAACTAATTATGTAGATTATCAAGTCAGGTTTTATCTTTAATTTTTTAAAAACGAATATTTTTAGTTTCAGTTTTTACATTCATGTTGACTAAAAACTCAGTTTAATATGTAAATATGTGTATAAAATAGAAAAAAAAATATCCGTTAATAACCGTTATATTAAATAAATACTAAATAAGATAATATAAAAACAGCGAATCACATGTGATTTTATATTGTTTTGGTAAGCGCTTACCAGGTAAATTATTGCATACGATATTGTTTTTGGTGGACTAAAATCTTACCCGATAGGTAATTGATAATGTTAAGTTTTACTAGTAAGCGCTTATTGGGTAAGTGTTTGGTAAACGACCCCTTAATATTTTATCGTTCTCTTAATTCTTCTAAAACTGTGACTTAAAACATAATGATGGGCTTACAAATGTTTTTGAATTTACGTTAATCTCAAATATTCTCATTTGAACTCTTCCCTCTCACTACAACAAAATTGAGTTTATAGGACACCTCCAATCCCTAAGCGTCCCAATAGACGGCTTTATAGAACTTAATTTATATGACCAAAATATAAAACATCATATCTAAAGGTGTTGTAATAAGTTTATATGACGCTTTTGAACGTCTTAACAAGTTTTTTAGAACATTTTTAATACAAAGTGTCGCATTAGCAACTTTATAGGACACTTTTTTCTCAAAAGCGTCCTATAAACTCAATTTTTTATAGGACACTTGTTTTTATAGGACAGTTTTTCAAATAGTATCTTATAAAGTTGCTAATTGGACGCTTTATATTAAAAGTGTCCTAAAAAACTTATTACGACGTCAAAAAACGTCATATAAACTTATTACAACACTCTTAGATATGACACTTTAATATTTTAGTCATATAACCTAAGTCCTATAAATAGGTCTATTATGACGCTTAGAAATTGGGAGTGTCCTATAAACCCGATTTTGTTGTAGTGTCTCTCTATACATATATGTGTGTATATATGTGTGTGAGTGTGTACAACAGTTGTTTCCAGTTTACTAGATGTTTTCACAAGTATAATTGTATTTACAGAAGGGCTTATTCATTACTATCGTTGTCTTTTTAGAACCCGAGACTTGATTTAGAAGCTAGCTTTGAATGGGTAGGCATTCGACACGTACAACCAGATAAAAATCACATATTTCGAACTTTCGTGTCCCCTCCATGTCCACAATCACAAAACGCCATGTCATTCTTTTATTTAATATAAATTTATTTTTTTATTCGCTCTTCTGAATAATTAAGTAGATAAGATGAATCTATCCAGGAAAGCTAGAGCTACGCCTTTAAAAGTAACAGAGAACGGAGTTGGAGTAATCATGATCGGTATACGTATAGAAGTAAGAATGTGATTGAGTGGAAAAACTTGATTGCATTATACCTATAGGTTGGTGTGTGTATAGGGGCCTATTCAAGGAAGAACTGACTAGTTTGTGGTAACCGTAAGATCCAATCTCAACCACAAATCAATATATAAATTAGAAAATTTATAATTTTGGAAATTTTGAATTGAAATTTTAATGCAAAGACATTTTAGGTATTTTTTCTCATCTCTTCTCTCTCCGTCCTCCGGTGATACCATTGTGATACCTAAAAATATTGACTATGTTAAACAAAAGACATGGTGTGATACCCAAGCATATATAAGATGCATTATGATACCACTGTGTTCATCTCTGATCGACCACACAAACGACCTCAGTGTGATACCCAAGCACATATATGATGCATTGTGATACCATTGTGGTATGACCGGAGGACGGTGGCTGGAGGACGGTGGCCGGAGAGAGTAGAGAGAAGAGAGAAGAGTTTTAAAATACCTAAAATGTCCTTGCATTAAAATTTTAATTCAAAATTACTAAAATTATAAATTTCCTAATTATCTATAGATTTGTAGTTAAGATTGGATCTCACAGTTAGCACAAACTGATTAGTTCTCATTTGATTAGGCCCCTATATATATATATATATATATATATATATATAGAGAGAGAGAGAGAGAGAGAGAGAGAGAGAGGAGCGTTCAAATAAAAACATGCCCCATTTGTGTAAACCAATCTCATCCATCCATTTTTTTGATCAATGACCAAAATTAGTTTATTTTATCTTAGGAAATTATATATATATATATATATAATATTAAAATTTTATTTTATTTCAACAGTAAGGGCAAAAATGGTAAACAAAATTTAACATTTGGTAACATTCTTCTCGATATTAATGACACTATTTTCATTTTTTAAAGCAATATATTATTTTTAACTTTAAATCACATCCATCAATAAAACATATCACAAAAAAAATGAATATAACACACCATATTCAAATATATGGAATGAATCGTTTTAAATTTTGAATTACATTATATGAACGAAATTGGTTTCACCATGAAAATGTTTCGGTTACATAATTTATTTGCAACAAGACTTGGTTTCACGTTCATGAAACCTGTTTCTTTTTCCTTTTCATAATTTATTTTCAAAATGCACCGTTTTCATTTTCCTTTTCATCAACAAAATGGATCAACTACACCATTAATGCAACGGTTTCACCATAAAAATGTTTTGGTTCACCTAATTTATTTGCAACATGAACCGGTTTCACGTTCATGAAACCTGTTTCATTTTCCTTTTCATAATTTTTTTCAAAATGCACCGGTTTCATTTTGCTTCTCATAAAAAAAAAGAATTAACTACACCATCAATGCAACGGGTTCACCATAAAAATGTTTCAATTCACCAAATTTCTTTGCAATATGAACCGGTTTCACGTTCATGAAACCTGTTTCATTTTGTGGATTTTTTTTGTTCATCTACGTTTTGATGATTTCATTCTATAATTCAATTGTTTCATCAATACATGTTTCATGATTATAACTCATGACAATATATGAAATCCAAATTTTTAATATTTTAATATAATTAAATATTTAAATGTTACCATTTATACAATTTTCTTTATTATGTTTCTTTAATTAAGATTTATTAATAACTTCCATATTTAATAGAAAATATTGTAAATGACCGAAATACCCTTATTAATTAAATTTAATTAGAAAAAAAGGAATTTTTCTATTGGTCGAAATTGGTTTACACGGTTTTCATTTAAACGTGCCCCTATATATATATATATATATATATATACATATATATATATATATATGTACATATATATATATAGGGTTGGGTTCATGTGAGACCAAAGGTTTTTCGTGAGACCCGTAAGACCAATTTATGTTCATTGATCAATTTTATAAGCGAATGATCTAATGATCCAAATTACACGATGGCAATTTTGTGATTATTGAGAAGTCTCATGGCATTTACAAATGTTTAGATTTTCAGATTATAGATCTAATCCAAAGGTTGTGAATTGGTTTTACAGGTCTCACATGATTCTAAGTCTATATATATATATATATATATATATATATATATATATATATATTGCGAATATCATAACCTACAAAACTAAATCGAAACTCAGTTGAGAGAATCGTAACCTACAAAACTAAATCGTAACTTATAAGATATTTATAATCAAGTGATTATGAGCATCTCTGTCAATGTCGACTTCAATGAAACGCATTAGTTATTGCCTTTGACTCTCCATACATTAATTTTCCTTGACCCTATTTTTAAGGAATGCAATAAAATGTAAAAAGAGAGACGTATTGCATTTTTTAGAAGAAAATATAGGTTTGTTCCATCTTGTTCCACATGTGGAGGGTCAAACACTCTTATTCCACCATGTTTGTTCCACATAAAAGTTCTGTCAAATATAAAACAGTAACAGTTTATCCTGTTATGTTATGTTATATTTAGTATACCAAAAGTACCCTTTTTATTTCATTTGTTATTTCTTTTAAGATGGAAAATTTGCATGAAAACATTTAAAAGTTTGGCAGATGTATCATTGAATAATCCAATAACGTAGTTGCGGACGGTTCATTAATGCTTTTACATACAGTTTTGTCTCAAAATAAATGTCTATAATTAAAAAAAAAGACATATAATTTTAAATATATGTAATTATTACATTTTTAATTAAGTAAAAGACAATTTTACCCTTAATAATAGAGATGAAATTTTTTTCCATGTCATAACTAAAAGTAGAATGAGAAAATATATACTTACTTTTAAAAGTAAACACTTATTTTAAGATAATTAAAATAGAAAGAGTAAATGCAAATTGCATTAAAAAAAACAATGTACTTTAACTTGATTCCTATTTTTGATAACGTACTTTCAAAACTTCCATTTTGGTATCTAAGATGTAAAGTTTTAAACATTTAAGTACCCGGGTAACCGGTTAAAGACTCTAACCGGTTAATGTTTCAACTAGTTACCCGGATACTTAAATATTTAAAACTCTACATCGTAGGTACCTTGAAATTACGTTACCTGAAATATGAATCAAGTTAAAGTACGTTACTTTTTCATGCAATTTGCCCAAATAGAAATATAAACAATTATTTTGAAACTGAAATAATAAATTTGCATAAGGCGTAGGCTTTACCAACCAAATTTTGTTGCGAAAGAGCAAAGAGAACATCTATTCCCAACGGCCAACGCCATAAATAGCCAACTCAAGATTGTATGAAACGTTTCGTTCAATTGGCCGAAATAGTTGGTTTTTCAGTACACGGCATTAATTTGACCATGTCAACTGTACTTATTCCAAAATGTTAAAACACGTCAGCCAAATAAATAATTCTCGAATTGGTCAGACAAGTAAAATTGATTCGGTTCTGCCGGTTTACATGGTGTGGATTGAACCGTGTAATGTTTTTTTTCAAATAGCCCCAAAATGTTTACAAAATCCATTATAGCAAATTTTAAACCGATAACGAATAATTTATGGCATGATTGACGATTATAAACTAACTTATTTTTTAAATTTATATAAAAACTAGTTCGGGTATTTTTTTTTTTTTTTTTTGAAGTTGACAGTTGTGTTTTCACACACCCACAGACTTAGCAATCAGGACCAAAAACAAGTATACAATTAGTCTCAATATCGTCTTTCTAGTAATAAAGTTGTACAAGTACTGCATATCGTCCATAGAGATTGTAGTAAAAGTGATGTGAAAGAATTTATTTCAGAAGACGAATTTGAAGACTTCGAGTGGATCTGAATTAACACTACTGAAAATTAACAGGAAATAACATATAATAAAAGCAAGTCATGGTGTAAGACTCAGAGTGAGATGTAAATATTATTTCCAGTAGACCGATGCTGTTAAAATGCTATAGCATAAAATCATGCTGACAAATTGCTACAATATGCAATTAGTAACAACTATTTTCACCAGTTATTTAGAGGGCATTTCTTTCAGATTTCACCGTTGCATTGATATTATAGCTTTCAACTCATATCTCTATGAGATATTTGGACCAGTAAAAGTGGCAAACGGTGTCCTCACAATATACGGATAAACAAATCATGACATAAATCATGTCAATATCAATAAGTAATTTTACTTTTGATCTCTTTTTAGCTACTGCTCCTCGTAGTACCATGTGGTTTCTTGATTTACTCTGTTTTGGTATTTTTTTTTTTAATTGTATCTTTCTACTGCTTCTCTATAAAACTTATCAGTTAGTTTAATCAAACACAACCAGTTTTAATTTCGACCAACAACTAACTTTTCATGCAGAAAAAACCAACGCATTAACCAAAAAGAAACAAGAGCATCCAAACGGAACCTGCAAGGAATGGTTCACATACGACCTCAAAAAAAAAATTGATCCATTTATAGTCCTCTACTAGTTGGATTAATGGATCGTCTACCGGGGAGAACAGGCCATTCGGCAGGGGGATTCTGAAATTGCGGAGGCTTGGTCGATCAAAACACCAGAAAACAACTTATCATTAATATCAGACTGAAATAAGTTAAAAAACAGATTTTATAAACAATCTCAAACACCCTCTAAATCATTAATTAAACCTAACAACTAACTTAGTACTTAGTTTGTTAGACATAATTATTGTACTAGAAACTATTGATATGATTTAAGCTATTAATTTACATGTGATATAATATAGTATAAAAAGGTTATTTATTAAAGAATGAATGGCATTGATTTAGGTGGAACACCATACATCTTATGGTCCGTTAGGTAGGCTATCAAATCCTCCCTTGCTATCTATCTACCAAATAAACAAATTTTAAAGAGGAGTCGTTTATCAAACACTTATCTGGTAAACATTTACATTTATGAGTTAATATTATAATTTATTTTATCGAGTAAAATTGTAGTACATGAAAAGAGTATCGTATGCAACAATTTACCCGGTAAGTACTTCATCGGGTAAGAGTTGTCACATTCACTTACCGAATAAGACTCTCCATCTTTATCATTATTCTTACCGGGTAAGATTTTTAACCTTTGCCATGTTCATTCGGTAAGAAAAATTACGCGATAAGCGTTTAGTAAACTACCCCTAAAACTGAATTTTTAAGTGGTTAATTGCCTTTATTCCATTGTTATAACGAGTTTACTGTAATCGTCATGTCACGTCATGACTTAAGATTTATGTCTAACACCAAATTAAACTTGTAGCGTGTTTGGGTCCAATGCATTGTTGATATATCGTATTTTTTGGTTTTAACATTTTTTGTTAGTTGTGGGTGTCTGGATCAGCTTGCACGCACCTCGACTAATCTCAGAGATCTTGTAGAACAACTGAGAAAATCCACAGTGGTCTTGCAGAACTCAAACTGATTACCTATAACCCCAAAGGCCCAAGCCTTACATTTTTAATGTTTTTTTATTTGGTTTTTAATATATAACCTGATTTAAATTATTTAAAATAATTGATTTATTGAATAATAGGAAAAAACATGTATATATATAATTATTTATATGATACATAGATTTGTTGTCACAAGTCACGTATTAATTGCTTTATTTTCATTCCTTATATCCTTTGTTAAATTATTTTCTCAATATTAATTAAATATCTAATACTTTTAATTAATTAAAATAAGTAACTTGTTCTTATCTTCATTCTCTTAATCATTCTCTATGACTAACTTTATTAGTGTGCATTATATATATATATATATATATATATATATATATATATATATATTCATTGATCAACTTTATAAGCTAATGATTTAATGGTCGAAAGTTGTACGGTGACAATTTTGTGATTATTGAGAAGTCTCGTGATAATTTTATGATTATGAATGTTCAGATTGTACATCTAATCCAAGGGTTGAGAATTGGTCTTACGGATCTCATGAAAAACACCTGGTCTCACATGATCTCAAGTCTATAATTAATATATATATATATATATATAGAGAGAGAGAGAGAGAGAGACTTGGGATCATGTGAGACTAATGGTTTTTCGTGAGACCCGTAAGACCAATTCTTAACCCTTGGATTAGATCTACAATCTGAAAATCTAAACATTCATAAATGCCACAAGAATTCTCAATAATCACAAAATTGACACCGTGCAATTTAGACCATTAGATCATTAACTTATAAAGTTGATCAATGAAAATAAATTGGTTGGAATACTATATACATCTCTTTTTACGTTAAAATCATATCAAATTATATATCATAAATATAAAAAATTAAGTCTTGGTGTTGATATGTAAGAGCAGAAAATTAACAGGTAGATGTACATTTAACAATATACAAGGTACATTTAGAGTTTTCTTATTAATACATTAATGAACTTAATGGTACCCACAACGTATTCGCTTAGGGTGCGTTTGGTGCGTGGGACAAGGTGGAACAGGACAGAACATGACACACTTGTCCCATGTTTGGTGTGTTATTAAATGGAACTAAGTAGAACTAACATGAACAAGGATGGGACACGGGTGTTCTACCTTACCCCCTGGAACTAAGTAGAACAGGGTATTTTTTACTAATCTACCCTCACCATCGCTTCCTTCCCCGCCTTCCCCTACCTCTCCATCGCTCCTCCATTCATCAATCGGCGACCGGCGAGGCGACCGGCGACGGCAGATGCAACGGCAGAGGCGATGGGCGACGGCAGAGGCGACGGCAGTCCGTTCAATCGACGATTTCCTTTCCATCGACGATTTCCTTTCCATCGGCTGTTTGCTGTTTGAACGATCTAGGGTTTGTCACATCAGGTACACCATCGCACCCTACCTATCCTTCATCAATCGGCGATTTAGGGTTTCTGATTCATGTTTGYTGTTTTGCATAACTCGATTTAGGGTTTCGGCGATTTAGGGTTTCTTATTTCATTCTCGATTTTGCATAACTCGATTTAGGGTTTGATGTTTCTTAAACTTGTTATAATTCGGCGATTTAGGGTTTCTGATTCATATTTGCGCCTGATTCAATTGTGTTCTAGCTTAACTATGGCTATTGATGCAATTGTGTTTTTCTGATTCATGTTTGCGCCTGATTCAATTGAAACGATTTTGCTGGGGGTAAATTGGTCATTTTAGCATGTTCTGTCTTGTCCTGTCCTGTCCTGTCTTACCAAACGTTGAACAGCTGTCCTGTCCCGTCCTGTCTAGTCCTGTCTGCGCACCAAAGGCACCCTTAATGGTGTATGATTGTTTGGTGAAAGTAGCTTAATGATATAGAAAGTGACTTACTTATTCATCAAATTTGAGAAGTTTCACACATTTTTTCAAACATATCATTCCGGTTGAAAAACACATTCATTTCATTTATGAAAAAACTCTCTTAAACAAAAAAAAAAATTATCGGTCTATATAGAAAAATCAGTCTACAAAACCAACTTTATTCATATATGACTTAATGAAAAAACAATCAAATAACTCACTTGCCCTTTAAACATCCACGTTAATTTACAGTCATCATTTAAGAAAAATCATTCAGCCATCGTATTATAATTTATACAATAAACTTTTTATTATTTTATTATTTATTGTCTTAATTATCATTGGCGGTTCATGGCATGATGTCGTGGCAGCCTGAACCGGACCTGTGACGCCGGAGACTTAACGGCGACACCGTGCCAGCATATGCCACCTCGACACATCTCGTGCACCACCTCATCATCGCCACGAGCCACCACCGCACACGTCGCCACCTTCCGAGAGACATCCCACGTCAGCGACACTACCAACAACACCCCGACCGCGGCCGTTGACAGAAGCAACACCGATGCTCCGCCGTAACACCGTCCGCTCAGTTGTCCGTACCCCTTGATCGCCGCTATCACCGCCAAGTATAAAATCGTCAGATTACCAACCACCATATCAGAAATTGCCATCAAAATTACACCAAATCAGACACAGAGAGAGCAATCGATTCAGGTGAAGTGATGAAGAATCAGAAGAATCTGGAAGGGATTTTAGGGAGGAATGTTTGGTGGGGTTGGGGTTGGGGTTTTCGATGTAGGTGAAGTGGCTTTTTCGAAAATCGAAACAAAAGGGTTGCTTCTTCAGTCACTCTTAACGATATTGGGGTAGAGCTTATCCACTAAGCTTTGCTTTTTTCCTTCTCCTTTTTCCTTTTCCTTTTCCGTTTCGTTGCCTCTATACTTGTCATTTGTTAAATCGATATTATTTTCATTGTTACCCCTTTATAATTTGATTGATTGTCACTTCACACCCTTGTAAAAACCGAACCGACATGAGGCGGGTTGTATTTTGATGTGTTACGACTTACGAGCTCGATCGTTGCGAGTTGTGAATTTTGCAGTATTTGAGTTGAGTAAATCTGATACGATAACTATTTGGGTTGTGGTGTATTGGTTAAGACTTATGAGATGTAGTTGAAATCTCATTGTCTGCATGCTTGAATTTAGGCACAACCAAAGCTAGTGGTGCTAATGGGTTGGATTGAGATATTTGAACAATCCAATCCAATGTTTGCGGTTTTAAAAATATTAACTCAACTCAATCCAAACCAAAGTGCAACCCAATGTTTGCGGTTTGAAAAATATTAACTCAACTCAATCCAAACCAAAGTGCAACNGAAAAATATTAACTCAACTCAATCCAAACCAAAGTGCAACCCAATATTTGCGGCTTGAAAAATATTAACTCAACTCAATCCAAACCAAAGTGCAAGCCAATGTTTGTGGTTTGAAAAATATTAACTCAACTCAATCCAAACCAAAGTGCAACCCAACCCAACCCTACTCAAACTGTATTGGGTTGGTTGGGTTGATAATTTAGTACATTAAAATATTCTTTAAACCTTGAATATGTTATTTCTCTAATCATAATTTCTTTTTCATCATCAACCATTTGATACAACTTATCCATATTTCTTACGTATATCACATTTAATTATTTTCTCAATTTACATATATATGTTCACATTTAAAATCCAATAAATAAAAGGATATCGGACTCATCAGGTTGGTTTGGGTTCAAATAATAGTAACCCAATACCTATGGTTTTAAAATTTTACAACTCGATTAGACATTTAGTTGCTTCAAGTTAAGTTATTTCGGGTTGGGTTGGGTTGGGTTGATCGGGTTTTTGAGCACCCCTAGCCAAAGCCCTTACGGGTCATGAAGGTTCACTTGTGATGACTTCATGTCATTCCTCACGATTACCCAAAAACATCTAATATTATTTATGAGTTGTTAACAGTGGCTTCAAAAATAAAATTTAATACAGTCCCAAACCTCAATTACCCACTTGAAACACTATTTATCCGTATCAAATTCTTCTCTTTTTTTCCTCTATAAATATCAAGTTTTCTAAAGGTTTTAAAATAAGCACATTACTTTATTCAACACACAAATATTTTATGATAAATTTCATGTATTTTTAAAGGGATTTTCTTATGTTTTTCTACGCACCCCCTAATTTCCTAAATATATTTTCTGGCTCCGCCCCAGTATACGTTGATTGACAAATATGGGGTTTTAAGCTACACTCCGTGTCCATTAAGAATCCAAATCAAGATTAAAAGAACATATTCGTGTATACGTATATAATTTATGTCGAGTTATCGACACAGTATATTCACCATGTGCAGTATGAGAAGATATAATCCCAACGAATACCATCATCTGTAGAGACCTAATTTGACATGAACCACGTGTTATAAGAGCTTTATTAGAATCTCATTTCCGGGTTATAAAATAGAACCCAATTTGTTTTAGTTCTAATTTTGAGAAAAATGCATTTGGTCGTCGAGTATTTAAATTAGGGATGTTATTCATTCAGTCGATTTATCTGGTTTTCAACATCCTCTAAACTATTTGCATACTGAATCGAATAAGGTTGAGTTTGGTGGGCTAAACGTTATTTGGTTCAGTTATCGGGTAAACTGAAAAAGGACATTATTTTAATAAAATACGTTGAAAAAAAGTCCGTTTGTGTTTTGTTTAGTTGTCATCATTGAGTTTGGAACTGCTTAATTGCACAAAAGAAAAAGTTCACTGCCTATGAGTCGCCGGCTCATTCTTCAACATACTTTGAGATGCTCCTCCCCGCCGATCAAGCAACGACAATGCAAATTTGATTTACAAAAGGGTTACGATTTTATTGGTAGTTTACGAAAGATTAAAAGAGTTAACCATGGATTACAAAATGAATATTCTTTGATTTCATGAGAGTTTATCAATACTATATTATAAAGCATTTGATAAAAACTTTTAAAAACCATTTTTTATGCATGAAGTACTTTGTATTGATGCATACTACTTAAAATTCAAAATTATAAGTAAATGTACATAAATACAACTTATTAAAGCTCTATGTTTGAATTCATGTAACTAACCGCAAATAAACATAATTAAATAGAAGATAAACATCTCATTTTAAATATAAAAAATCTAAAATATAACTAAGATAATTATTAAGTTTTTACAAAATAAGATGATCTTATTTAGAATCATCTTATCTTAAATAAGAATTTTTGTAAATTAATTCATAAAAACAGAGATTCTGAAAGTTGGTTTTTCAAAATAAAAATGAATGCAAGAATGATTAGTTGAACGCTATCTAAGGGTTCGTTTACTAAATGCTTACCGTGTAATCGTTTACCGGCAAGAGTCATAGCTCTCACTTAATTTATAGGGTAACATTCTCGACTATCAAAATGGATTAATGGTAAACGTTTATAACTTGATAATTGAACATTTACCGGGGAAGAGTCGTCATTTTCACTTACCTGATAAGACTCTTGGTATTTGTCTTCTTAGGGGATTAATGGTAAACATTTATAACTCGATAATTTATACAATGCTTTTGGACGACTTAAGTAGTTCTACCGAGAATGAGACGGTCAACTCAATCCTTCTTGCAGTCTATCTTAGGGGGTGTTTGGAATTGTTTATTTGAAATAACTTGTGTTTTTCTATAAAAGTATTTATCAACTTATTATAAGTCAGAAGGGTTTAACTTCTTCAAAAACTCCTTATTACCAGTTTAGCAACGGTATAAGTTGTTTATCCAAACACTCAAAAGTGTTTATTACCGGTACCACACCGGAATAAGTCAATAAGTTGTTTTTATAAGCAATCCCAAACACCCCCTTAGCAATATGGTCTTCCAAAAAGTCGGATTGGTAGGGTTCACCGAATCACCGGGAAAGGGGAGGGCCGGAGGGGTAACCGGAGAAAAGAAGAAGAAAGGGGAGAGTTTTTTTAATATAGTATAGCAGTACTTATTTATTTAAAAGAAAGAAAATGTAGAACGACGAATTTATCAGAGGCGTTAACTATTCGAGAATTTTATAAACTATTCGAGAATTTTATAAACTATTCGAGAATTTTATAAACTATTCGAGAATTTTATAAGCTACTCGAGCTCAAGCCAATCTCGAACGCAAAATAGAACTTGTTTAACTAAGTTCAAATAATATCAATGTTCGATTCAGCTCGTTCTAAAACTTGACTAAAATTTTCGAGTCAAAGTCCAACCATACGAGCATGCATTTTTTCCAAGTTAACATGTTCATAAATCATATAATCAAAATATTAAAAATTATCGATCTTCATTCAATAAACTAAGTTAAACAATCTCGAGTTTGAGCATATTGACAAGTTATTCGAGTTCGACCCTGAAGTTATTTCCGTAGGCCAAGCTCGAATAACCTACTACTCGACCAGATTCAGCTTGTTAACACCCTTGTTCCAGCCCAAGGACATATCAGATATGCAAATGCACCCGCGAGCATATTGCATTGACAACATCCATTAGATATACATTCCATCGCACCTAAAAAGACTAATAAAATCAAAAGGCCATTCTCCCAGTAGTGGTACCTCGTAACCCGACTTTCCTAGAGATCAAAGGTTCAAGTTTTATCAAAGACGAGAAGTGTGCATATGAGTTTTGTTCTATATAAATTGATATACTTATGAAAAAACAACTTTAACAATCAAAGCTAAAGCATATGCATAGTTCGGGTTTGGTCTTAGTCCCCACTTGGCCACTATTAACTCCAGGGCACCCTGAGATAGTCGAGTTGTGCTTAAGTTGGCCGGAACACAAGAAAGTTATATATAAAAGGGGTAAAAATGATACCTTTGTTTCATATGAAAAGAAGACATTTGATAATGTATAGTAGTGATGGTCATTAGGAGCGGGGGCGGATCCAGCCTTTAAGCAGTGAGGGGAAAGGCCCCCAGTCAAAAACCATAAACTTTTGTTGACTAGTTTAAATTTTCTATTTTCACCCTCTTCTTACATGGTTTCCCCCCAGTCCCATATGGCCATATGCTTCCCTCTCCCAAGTCCCATCCAACGTGCCCCCACCCCATTAATTTCCTGGATCCGCCACTGATTAGGAGTTAATAGTGTTGGTATAAGAGGCTTTCCTAGCTTCAATAGAGTCCATTATGGTGGATGGTTCACCATGCATAACAACTCTCCCGTCTTCCATATATATAGCACCATCCGCGTACTCCAGTTCTTCCAATCGGTGTGTTACCCATAACGCACTCACATCTTCAGAACTACTCAATGTGTTCTTCACGGCTTTAATCACCCCGACCTGATCACAATTAATCGGATCCTTAAGACAAATAGTAACTTTAAGAAAATACTCAATTGACTCTATAAGATGAATAGATTTTAGACTACAATATAATCTAAGTGATGACCTTCCTATGTTAAATTTGTACAATTCTAATGAATATTTTCTTCACCCAGATAAACTAAAAATGAATCTTTTTTTGTGAAGTATATAATTTTTATATACGGCAAATAGAACAAATAAACTCACACCCTCCTCACATTTTGTGAGGTTTGAACCCCTGACCTCCTAGGAGGCCAAACACTCGTATACCGCTAGGCCAAAGGCCTTTGGTAACTAAAATTGAATCTTAAAGCACCAATTTCCTTATGTCAATAAAGAATGTATTCTGACTACACATCAATGAGTTGAAACTAACATCTTACTTGATGTTCATTATGCATAATTTACTAAATGTTTGCAATCATCTCATTCCCCATCTAACAAGCATGCATGCATGCACTTGTATGTTTCAAATTCTACTCTTAATTACGAGATGGGGAAATTTGTTACTCTCTCTCTATAGTTAAGGGTAAAATTGTAATAGTTACCTAAAAAATGTAATAACTACACATTTCTACAACTGTACACCTTTTTCATTGTGGGACGAATTGAAGGGAGTAGCTATTTGCCCATGATTAATTCAAGGCATAAACAATAGTTTAAGAGAAACGGAGTGAAGTTGAAAAGCAAGAAGATGTACCTGATCGCTTTCATCCAAGAACGTCGTGAGTTCATCTAATAACAATACTTTACATTCTTCGACCAAAGCACCAGCAATTGCAACCCTTTGTTTCTGACCCCCACTAAGTGTTTGTACCGGTCTCTGACAATTAGGTAATATTTGTATGTTATGTACAAATGTAGCTTAAAAAGCACTTGGACTAGGCGGTTGATTAGCTTAATTGGTTAAGCCATCCAAACTTAATGTAAAAAATTACTATTTGTACAAAAATCAGACTTAAATAAGTAATTACCAAGTATTAAATATCATTATAAACATCTTTTTCACAAAATAAAAGTTAAGGAAGCAGCAGGCATTGTGCGGTCAAGTGATCATTGAATGAGTTACTTATAAAGCTGTGAACTTGGAACAGTTGTAATCATCATAAAAAACTAAGCATATAGCTGCTTTTTGCCTAGTATGCTTAATCCCGCCTATTTTTGCATAATACTTTTAACGTTTTTTTGGCCGGTTATGGTGAAATCAAGGCGGGTTACCCTGCACCGCCAGGGCCGCTCCTGAGGTTTTTAGTGCCCTGGGAGAAAACAATAAAAAGTGCTCTGTCTACAAAAAGACTACTAAGTGGTTTCAGGTTTACAATGTTGAACATTATGTTACCGAACAACAAATTACACACAATGTGTACTATAATGACATAAAAACCTTTGTTCAATGATTTTTGATTATTAAAACTTCATATAAATGGAAAGTAGCAACCATATTATCAAAGAACCATTTAAAATAAATCGAAATAAACTACATTAACACATGTTCATGCTAAAACAACATGTCACGTTGATTACCAAAAGGGCCTTTGCCCTAGTGGTATCCGAACGTTCAGACCTCAGTAAAGGTGAGGAGGGTGTATGAGTTCTTTTGTTGCATTTGTCGTATATAAATATTATATATTTTAGAAACATTTTACATTATTTTCTTGTAGAGTAGCATGACATGCTCAAATAGTTGCTATTTGAAGCCAATTATCAAAAATGATTTAAAAGAGTCAATTTGTAGCAAATTTACATCATTAAAACTTAAAACAGACTTGAACATGCATGTACAACAGATGCAACAACAAAAGATAACTCTCTCTATTCTATATAAACATGTTTGACAAAATCATACAAAGAAGAAGAATAAAATTTCAAATATTATCAATGTTTTTTCAAAACAAAAACCCATATAAAGAATTCATTGTTGAATGCAACTAATTTTATTTCAGATAAACATATGTTGGCATCAAAAATGGAGAGAAAACAACTTAGAACAAAGGATTTAGGGTGGGAAGGAATAAAAGTAAATGGGGGAAAAGCATATGGTAAGGTCCATTGATGATATTGTTCAGGTCTTGAGTTTGAAACTTTCAGCTGCTAACTTTTCTTAAATACTTTTTAGAAATAATATAGCAGGCCCAAGAAGTGAATTGATGCCCCTTGGGCTTCTGATGCCCGGGGCTGCCGGCCCTGGCCACCGCCTGGGAGGCCATTTAATCCGCTTTTAACATCATTACCCGAAATTATAAAATTCCTTGTAACAGACAATAAACAATCGTTTCATACCTGCAAATAATCATACATGCCCACAGCGGTCAACGCTTTTGCTACTCTCAGTTTTTTCTCATCATTTGTCAGGTTGAATCGCCCAAGGCCAAAAGCCACATCTGCTTCTACAGTAGGCATGACCACCTAATTCATGGTCATCAAAAGCATGATATGGGTTCTCTTCCTCACACATATTATATTATTTCTAGAAGTGTACCCATGCAATGCAGCAGAATGTAAAATTTATTGTAAACCGAACATTGAAATTGTTTTAAATTTATTTTTAATGATTTTTATTTTTTGGAAATGGGTCAATTATGATATGAGGTTTCCAAGAATCTCAAATACACTGTTGTTTATTTGGTTGATTGATCTTATATTTGGGATGGGTAGTATAGTTTTCCAAAACCTCTGTTTTTAACATTTAAAGAAGGGCAAAATATAAATATTTTAGAAAGTAAAAGATTTTGTATGCATTAAATAGTTTATACTTTGATATTTATAATTGTACTCTTGAAAAATAGAGGGTTTTTAAGAACAAAAACCTAAAGCTTTATAATATAGTATAGATTGCTTGTAAGAAATCACATATCCCTTAAAGGGCTATTGATGCTCACATCCAAAACAGAACAACATTGAACCACTTCCATTGCTATACAAATTCCTTAACTCATGGTCTTTGTGATTCCATTTGTAGAGCACATTTTATGAAATTGAATTAACGGAACTTTGTAGACCATCAACCTCATTCTTACATTGTAGCTTACCACTAGCTATTTGTAATTATATCAATGCAATAATGTTCATTTGACTCCCTAATCTTGTTAATCCTTTTAATTGACAAAATGCTCCATGGATGCAGTTACACAGAACACTCAAAAATGTAAATATCCCTCCCTTTGATTAAGTTTGCAACTTCAAGTAAGTCTCACTTCACATATAATTATGGGGAAAGTGTATCTAAGGATAAAAAGAAGTAAGACCTACTTGGTGATCTGGGTTTTGGAAGACATAACTTCTAGGTTTCCTCACATGTACGCGACCATCTGTTGGACTTAGCAGACCTGCCAAGATCTGCGTATAGTTAACAAAAAGAAAACTCAATGTAACAGAATCCAACATTTGCAACAATATATCATGAATTACAGTTCCGATATCAATAATAATCTCATTTGGTCCTAAAAATAGATATCACTTTAACTTTTCATGTCAACAGGTCATTACAAGATTGATAGATGATAGCCACCATAACAAGGATTAAAAAAACTGCATGTTTCTCTTTTCTTCAAAATTAGTGGAATTGGGAAAAAACTTAAGATTAATACTTCACCTAACCACAATCATCATCACACCACCATTGAACACTCTATCATAGCATAACCCCTAGAAATTGTGCTCATATCACATAATCATAAGGAAGTATGAGTTTATTAATGTAGTTCTGAATCAAACTTGTTACTTTTGGAATTGGCATTTGACATAGATTCTTCTCCATTTCAGCAACAAAGTGATTTTATATTTTAGTATTTTTAGGTAATGCAATTTAATTAGCAACTTTTAACCTCAAAACCTACCGAATCCAAACAAGCATTCAAGTTAAAAAGCAGCCACTTTTACATCAACAATGAGTGAGTTAGTTTTAAACCATTTCATTGACACTTTGTATTAAAAACCCATCTAGGAAAATGCCGAAAAAGAGCCGGTACTTGAAAAACATGAACATCTTTTACCATTTCTTCTTTTAACTCTCAGAGAAACCATTGTACTCGTCAAGATTTGGGCAAACAAGTTCATCTTCTACAAGCACAAAACTCATTTGGGATTTTACGGAATATGATGGTTGTTTTGATGCAAAATGTCTACGATGATTACAAAAGTAATTCAATCCGTGTACAAACTAGTAAATGGAGTATTTTACTTGAATACTGACACTATTTGTTTAACTTCAAAAGGTCAGATGTCTGTAAAGGTGGTTGAAGAGATTAAAACATCAGGTACTATCTGGAAATAGTACCTTCAAAAGTGTTGATTTCCCACATCCATTAGGTCCAAGCAACATCCAAAACTGCCCAGAAGGGATTTTCAGGGAACAATCCTTTAAAATTGGAACCAATTTTCCCTTCCCCGTGTTGATAGAGTAGCTTATACTATGACTTTCAATTGCAAAATTGTCAGCACCAACAACAGTATTATTCCTGTGACAAAAACAGAACAAGAAACCCAATATGGCAAGACATTCAGTATGACACATAGTTATCGTATTCAGCCGATAACAGTGAAATTACCTCGTGGGTATGTTGCACTGGAGAGGTACTGAGGCGCGAAAAGGAGCACCGATGTTCATATTATCTTACATCAAATTAAATCACCTCCAAAAATTTCATCCTACATCACAATTCTAATCAGATTTTTAGCAATTAAAATACACTATAAGATTTATTTTTCCATAAATCTACAACATTAAGCTTTTTCACCAGCACTACGAATTGAGCAACTGTTTTTAAGCTTTAGGGAATAAGAGAAACATACTGATTAAAGCAGGCTTGTAGCCATAGTTATGGGTTTTAACATGAGCAATATGCAATAAGGAATCAAGATAGTTTCTCTTTCTATTACTTTCCCTTATAATATGCAGGAGACAAATGAAACAAGAGGGAAACGTGCCACTTGCAAGAACATTCTATGGGATCTCTGTTCATATTTGTAAAATTTCCCTTCTGGCCACACTTCTTTCACTTAAAATTAGTTGAATTCCTGTACCGTTTTATGTATCAAAATGAATTTGTGTGCTGTCACTTGAATTGATTTGAAGACCTTAACAGAACTCTATTTACGCTTGTGTTCCACAGAGCACAATGCACAACCAAATAGATGAGGGTGGTAGCGGTGGTAAAGAATGGTTTCAACACCACGATATCAACATTCGAGTTCATATGGTTACAAAACACAAAAAAAGCCCTGAACAAAAAGCATTAAACTGCATCAAACAACACAAAATCAGTATTCTTCAAATACTCAAACCGAAATCACCAAATCCATTAAGAGATAAATGAAATAGCATTGTTTCATACCTGATATTGCAAATGTAGAGCGAGAGCAACGGGAGGATGAAAGAGAGACAGAGGAGAGCAATGTTGCAGGCCAGAGAATTTGAGAGACCTCGAATGGCCACTGTAGGAAGACGATAAAAATAGAGGAAGGGATAAAATCGGAAAAGCACACTGCAAGAGCATCTTATCTTTTTAACTCTATTAAGATGTTTTTGTCACATAGACTGCAAATGAGAACATACTCTTTTAATTAGGGTGCTCAAAAATTCGACCAATTCAATTAACTCGATCAACTTAACCTAACGTGAAATAATTTAAATCAAAGCAACCCGATATCTAATCGAGTTATAAAATTGTCAAACCGTAGGTATTGGGTTGATATTGAGTTACTATTATTTGAACTCAACCCAACCCGATGAACCCGGTATACTTTTATTTCTTGGATTTAATATGATTGTTGAATTTCTATTAATATATACATTAGACAATTACACTATCATGTATGTTTTTCATAAACACATATTTTCAATCTATTCATATCTCTATATAACACATTCAGTAAATGTGCACACAGATATATGTAAATTGAGAAAATTAACTGAATGTGATATACATAAGAAATATGAATAAGTTGTATCAAATGGTTGATGATGAAAACTAAATTATTAATAGATAAATAACATATTCAGAGTTAAAAGAATATTTTAATATAACAAAGTATCAACCTGACCAACCCGACCAACCTGTACGGGTTGGGTTGGGTTAAGATTTTTCCAAACCGCAAGCATTGGGTTGGGTTGTTCAAATATCCTCACCCCGATTAACCCAACCCATGAGCACCCCTAGTCTCAAGTATGTCAATCGATTTCTCCTAAATCTATAATCGATTGATTTCTCAAGTGTGCTAATCGATTCATATAGAAGATGATCGATCGATGCTACTGCTTCCATGTTGGCTCGCGTCAATTGTGGCCTCTCGAGAGAATCGATGGTTGCATCTTTGATGCATCAGACATGCCTCCCTCCTCAATCGGATAACCGATTGATTGATGGTGTTTTATCTCTAAAAAAAATATCAAAATCAGTTTTTGATTGTTGGCTTTTTCAATCATTTGTTGCTCCATTCTTGGATGGTTTTCTATTTGTGGTTCTTTTTGTTGGGTCACCTATTGATTTGACGATGTGCCACTTATCTGTTCTTCTATCCTATCAACGCTTAATAGTTATTGATTTTTTTGTATATTGGTGTCTTGGTACATACATAAAGTCATTGGAAAAATCGAAAACTAGCCGATGTGAAAACAGAATGTCACCGATGCGGTATTGTGGATCGACTATTACACATCAAGACTCCAGAGTAGCTGATTTGAAGATTGAAAATATTTTGAAGTTACAAGTCGATTGAAGAAAGATATTCATGCATCGAAGATTTGTAAGTAGCTGTTTGAAGCTATTAATTCATCCAAATAAAATATTCCTACAGACTGACCATATATTTGCAAAAGTTTGTCTCTGTATGAATAGTGTTGTATGCACGTTGTGTACGATGAAAATGAGATATCAACAATGGTTATGTCAACCCATACCTTCTCATCCTCAAGTGACAAGTGTCCTCATGCATTTAATGCTGAAGGTAGTATAAAAAGCAATATGCATCTCCCATGCAAAATAGACTTCCTTAAAAGAATTACTAAGTGCTTTATCAAAACAATCGACTCCCTCTTCTTCTACTCTCTCATGTGCGAAGAAAATCTTAATGTTCTTGATTTCCTTGCAAATACTCCTTTCGTTGTTCTTGCAATTTATTATCTTTGTAATATTGTTTAGGTTAGGTTATCATTTTCTTTTTCCGCAACAATCTTTATTGAATCTCCGTGTGTTAATTATAATATTCATCAATAAGAATTAAAAATTTGAAAAAATATGTATAATTGTATCCAACACCTCCTCCTACAATTACTTTCTGTTTATCACCATCCCATTCGGGACCAACATTTTTCTTTTATGGTTTTTTAATTTGTTGGTAAGATGTGGTTTTTATTCATCTGGGATTATTTTTATTTAGGGTTTATAAATTCGGGTATTTTTTCTAATTTGGAGATTTGTTCACAGTTTTATAATCTGTTTATTCTTGTTTGATCTACAACTTTGCAGTAAATATTATTATTTTATGAAATTTGATATATAACATTTAATGTAAAACAAGGTAAAAATAGTCATTTTTATCATTCAGATTGTTTATTCAGCACATCAACCGAACAACAATTGAATTAAATTTATACAGACAAAGTTAACGATATAAACCGCTTTATCCATACAAAACTTAATAAAAACCAGATAAATAACCCTTTAAAAATTTTTACTCAAGGTTGACCTAGGATTAGACGTTTGCCTCCTACAAAAGCGGCCTCTTTGATAGTTGATACCATCTCCGTCTCTCTCATGTGGAAGTGGAATGCACAAATTCATCACGTAGAGAAGAACACTCTCTGTTAGTCCCTGCCGCTTCTGATAAATCCTTCCTCCACACATGGCTGGTGCGGCATACGGTCAGCTTAATCTTGATGAGTCGCCGTCATGGGGTTCTCGAAGCGTAGACTGTTTTGAAAAACTTGAACAAATTGGTGAAGGAACATACGGGTGAAAATTCTCTTGCCCTAAATAACAACATTATCGTGTTTTCGTATTCGATCCTTTTTCTGTCACTGAAATAATGCATCGTTTGTATATTTGGGCGCGTTATTTTGTTTATATAGGGTTTCGGTTTACCGATTGTGTGTATTTATTTCTCTAATTGAAGTATTTACTGCTTAGTTTTACTCGATAATTGTTATATGTATACTCCCTTGTTCAGGGAAAAGAATACAGGTAATGAACTCGTTAATCTGCACTTGATCATTGATGTGAATTTTCAACTTCCCCAGAAAAAAAAAAGTTTGCCAAGTACATCAACTAGATCGCACACATAAAGAGCAGAATAATGTTGGTGAGACATGCAACAAAATTGATCTCAGTATTGCAGTTTGAAAAGACTAGATTTGACATCTATATTAAACTGCAGTTACTTTTTTCATAGACAAGTGTGTAAGTATGGTTGATGTGCTTGATGTCTTGATCTTCCTTCATATTGAATTTTAAGGGTTTCCCCATTTTTTTCTTGTCATATGGAACGGAAAGACTCTTCCCACATTAGCTGGAGGCCGTTATGATACTTCATATCCAAATTGTTTGAGGGCTTTATGATATTTCATTTCCAAATTGTTTGAGGGCATGGCATGTATGCACACATGTTGACATCCAGTAGAGAAACGATATCCGAATAAGTGATAGTTGGTTGCACATCCATTACATGCATACAGAGATTCCCTGGGGAATGGGTGACCGTTGGAGCAATGGGTAGTTTTCTCTTATGTGATGGAAGATCCTGTGTTCAAGTCATGGGGACAATTTATTTGCAAAATATGCAAGGGAAAGGGTGCATACAAAGACTTCCCAATCCCCTCAGAATTTAGGGCATTGATGAATCTGGGTCACCCAATAGAGATCCTATGGGCAGTTGTGATGCCGTTTTACTATCAAGATCCAAGTATAGTAGGTGGCGCTTAGTAGCTGTATATATGATATGAATATATGGTTGGTTTCTTTCAATCTGTGGACGAGGAGGAAAATTAGTAGGTGTTTTTGCAGTTCTTATAAATCTTATCAAAAAATTAATCAATCAACAAGTTATTATGCTTTCAGGCAAGGTTTCTTAAATAATAAACAGATTTGGTCTATTTATAGAGAGAGAAATGCACAAAAATGAGGAAAGAAGCATATGTGTATGTGGATCTGTGCCTTTTTTGCATATTAACTAATTGATACACTTAAAGGTACCTATCTGTTTTCAATAGACGATACCACTGATATCTACAGATCTATTACGAGATTTGAAAAAGATGCTCATGGTTTGCAGGAGTTGTTGTATTTCTTTTAAAATAGCTCAAGAAATTATCAAATTGCAGATCTATAAAATTCTGGTTCCTTCTTGCAAACCGTGCCCAACTTTTATACACATCTATATTGACTGCTGAAATTACATCAGTAACGTAAATTTATAAATTTAGAGCTATTATGATCATATATGTGTATATTGTTCATACTTTATACTATGAGTATACTTGTGTAGTTTTCTGTATTCCTTGTCGTTCTACATTGAATGTAATTGTTACTTCCAATATTTTTGTTGTTCTTTTGGCTATAAATGATGTCATTAGTTGAGCTTATGTCGAGGTAAGAGAGCATATGTATCATTAGTTGGCTATAAACCCTCCAGGCTTTGATGATTGTAGATACGGCATTCTCAGTTTGGTTTCAGCCCCATAGGGTTTTATACCTTCTCAAGTTCAACATGAAGATCTAAATAGCTGCCGCAACATATGGTCCAATTAAACTTTAAGTGTTGGCACTGGGTCATGCTAGGCTTTAAAATATGAGCAGATTGGGGAAGGAACCTATCGGTTACAGTCCCAGTTTTTTTCTTCTTCTAGCATTTCTTCTTGATGTAAGATCTTATATTTCTTCTTTTTATTAGCATTTCCTCTATATATATGCATTTATTTGATTTGCTTTTTTTGATACATGATTGATTTTATTGACAAAGGAAGAAGTGATGCCTCATACCATTTAGATCTACATATTTGAAGTTAACTTCAAAGACCATCTATTTGCATGTTGAAGTGCGTCAGAGCCTTATCTATTTATGGTTGGTATGAAATAAACATGGAGTTGTAACAACATTAAAAAAATCTGACCAGAAGGTGGTGTAGCAGTAGCAATTTATCTCCTGTAGCTATAGGTGTAGTTATTTCTAAATATTTCTAGTGGAAGGCTGACCTTAAGAATCTTAATACTAATTAAAGGCATCGGAATGCGTTGGGTCCTTTAAGTTATTTGCAGGAAACAGATTTTTGTTGAGACCTAATCAAAGGATCCATGTGCATTCAGATGCATGAAATGGTTATTTGGGATCTGTTTCAAGAAAATTCGTATTTCCTACCCTTTTTGGAAAGAATGGAAGGTCCCCTTCTCCTTTTGCAATGTCCGTAACAATGAAAGTTTGTCTGTATTAGTTGTTGGGAATGCCAAAATTGGACACTAAGGCATCTTGGTTTTCATCATATTCAGCTTCTTTGCTTTCTTAAATAATTTGATTGAAGATATTTTAACTAATTTACGGATGTGTGTTTGAGTATATAAGGGTCTTAGCGGGATCTTGATTTTCTTCAAATCCCTTTTTTTTCTTTTTTTTATAAATGTATCTGGTGAAGATATTTAAGAATTTGCCTTCTTTTCTATCCTTTTTCCCTCTATTATGTATTACCTCCTGTATTGTTGCTGAGAAAAATACCTTCTCTGATGTACTACATTTTCCGAGAGGATTTCATACATGTTACTACCACAATGTAGAATTGCTACCCGAACCAACATGTGACTCACACAGAGGTTTCCATGGGCACGTGTTTAGCTTTACATTTGATATCCAATTCCATTAGGTGTTCCGCTGTATTAGCTTTTCTATATTGTATGGTTGGCTGCACACATTGTACGACAAGTATATAACACTGTATTTTGGAACAAAATCTCAAATGTTTTTCATTTGTTTGATTAAGACGTATCAAAAAGAATTTTCAAACTTTTGAGCAAGGGGGGTTTTCTTTTTTCCTTGGACAATAGGAAAATTTACTTTTAGGAAGAAGAGATGATGGAGTGGAATTTAGAAGGCAGTCAAGGCACAAAACTATACAAAATCAGCACACATTGTACCCCTGTTGCACACTTTCTGAACTTCTCACCTGTCATTCCTTAGAGTACCATTACGATTAAACCAAACTCCAAGCCAGTTTATGTGTGGCTGGCTGATGGTTTGAAGACCTCTCTAGTCCTTACTTGGGTCACTTAGACTAGGTGAGGGCCCTGAGAGGACTTTATGACTTGGGCTGTTTGACAGTTGCTGAATGGTTTAGTGCAGAATGATTAAGTGGTCAGGATGATTTAGAGACTCTGTATGATTTAGTGTCAGATAGAAAAAGGTTGTTTGGAAACTGTTCTGAATGAACAGTCTGAATGACATAAAATTACCATTTTACCCCCAGTCTTGTGTTTAATGAAAATTAACGTTTGACAACAGTTCTGAAGGAAATTTCTAAATGACAAATAGAAAATAATTAATGGTCCAAGCCAATACATAATATTATATCAATTCAAACAAGCATGACAATGTTTGTTCAAGGACACCGTGTGTAACAATTTACCCGGTAAAATTTTAGTCCACCAAAAGGAGACCGTGTGTAACAATTTACCCGGTAAGCGCTTACCATAGTAAGAGTCGTCGCCCTCACTTACCGGGTAAGACTTATGGTCCTTGTCTCGTTCTTATCGGGTAAATTTTTTGGTCATTCCCATATTCATCCGATAAGGAAATATGATTTGGTAAACGCTTATCCGAGTAAGCGTTTGGTAAACGGCCCCTTAGATCACACATCTATCATCAGAAATGCATTCCCATCTTCAATTTGTGTGATCGTTTTTTACTTGAGCTTAATCATTCTAGATCACACCTTCACCATTGTTCTTGCTCTCTCGATAACCATGACATCCAAATAGCTGTTTCAATTGCATGGTGACATCTTAACAGTCTTCACCATTGTTATTATGCATTAACAGATGCAATTGGCATGTAAATAAAGAGTTTTGTTAATGTTTACAAATAAATTGTTCCTATAGTGAATTTATGTCGCTTTTCTTGTTTAAATACACAACTTAACCAAAATTATGATGAACTGCAGCATAATTTCACTGATGGTATGGCTTTAGGAAGTGCTTTCCTCCTATATGGGTCTGTTGGTGGGTTGTCAAGAACACTTTTTCTACTTGCACATGAGCTTCCTCAAGAGGTCTGTTTCCCTTAGAAGCCAAACCAATAATAAACCCTTAGAATTATGGAATCCCAACCTCCAACTAATCAACTACTAGCATAGCAAAACTGACCATTGTGATATCAAATAAGAAAAATATTATAGTGATACAAAAGGGGAAAATAGCAAATTGCTCAGATTCTATTTTTCTCATCTTTGGTGTTGTCTAGGGTTTATGATTCAGAAGAAGGGTTGAGACCGATAAGAAGGGTTTATGATACAGACCCATAAGCAACAATGTAGGGAGCTAAAGTTATGAAATTGAGATGTCTTACCTGTGACTGGTGAAGAAGAGGAGAATGGTGAACGACGACCAGGGTTGCTGGCGATTCTTACAGCCGACCGAGAAGAAGCGTCGCTTGGAGAAATCGAGACTGGTGATGAAGAAGAAGAGAACGACGATCAGAGAAAAGGGAGGGCAAACTTGGAAAAATATACATCTGAATCGTATGGAGAGCTAGCGGGTGAAGGAGCGATTCAGATCTAAAGTTTTCATTCAGACATTTTTTAAAACCTATCCAAACAAGAAAATGTCTGACTGAATCAGACCCTTACCTCTTAATGGTATCATTAAGAGGTAAACAAACAGCCCCTGCGCCTAATGCAAGTCTGGTTCAGAGGTTAGGAAAAAAACTCAGATACCAGTTAAGAACCATGAATCATGTAACAATATTACCTTTACCTAAATAAACTTTTACTTTATATAGCATTTGAGTCTGACCCATTAAGAACCAAATATTCAGAGGGAGAGAGAAAGAGGCTGGTAAGCGGGGAGGGAAGGAAGGGGGAGACTCGATGATAGACTGACCTTGCTGCTGTTTTGATTTCTTCTGTTTCAACATGCTATGTTATTTATTATAACGGTGCTATATTTTATATTCTTTCTTCATTTGGAATGAGATTTCTATATTTTATTTTGTCCCTTGTAGATCTTTGGTCTAAATTGTGGACTCTGATATGCTAAAATAGCTGTTTATTGCATGAGTCTTGACACTTATTTAATTTGAACAGGTTTTGTCATTTCTGCCTTGGTATTTTTTTTTGTCATAGACATGGCATGACATCAACAGCAATTCTTTTGTCCCAAACTGATTGGTATAGGCTTACAATGAAATCAAAACAAATTGTAAAATGGTGCAATTCAAAACTTCTGAACGGAAAATTAGTGTCTCTTGAAGAACTTGGGTTCATGCAATAAAGTAATTGGGATGCTGCACCGTGCTTGTAGTTACCATGATACAGGTGTCATGCCATCATCCTTAGAATCATTATTTTAATTATGCATTGTAGGTTTCTAATTTTTCTTCAGTTAAAAAATATATTGTAGAACCACCTTAATTTTGTTGCATATGCACGGGTTTTAAGATCTCTTTTTTTAGAAGATCTTCATTATGAAGCACTAGTGTTTTTCTTGAAGACACTCGCATAATTGACATCGCAGGAGCACAAAAAGAACACTGCTGAATGTTCCTGAAGGTTACTGCAGATCAAGTGAAGTCTGTGAAAGTAGAATATTATGGCATTGTTGTTCTTTCTGGTTAAATGTTAGCACTATGCTGTATATTTTGGTTAAGCACAAAATTTTGCTGCATTGTTAATGTAATGTAAGAGGCGATTTGTTATTCACCTTATAGATGGTTGTAACTAATTTATCATCATGTGCCTGTTGTTTTTTCCAACAGATTCTCTTCGTCTTAGGTTCAGTTGATAATGTGGTAGTATTTTAAGTGAACCCTGAATTGTATCAGTCATCGAGTTATTAATCTAACCACGTCGTTTATCATTATTTTGTCTTTTCTCTTTCTTCTCAGTCAAGTGTACATGGCCAGAGAATTAAAAACTGGGGAAATTGTTGCTCTAAAGAAGATACGGATGGACAATGAAAAAGAAGGGGTGCGTTTGTTTTCTTTGGCTCTATTTGTTTTCTAGATAACACTTCTTATATGTGGCTTCTTGTATGACAATCTAGGTGCAAGCCTTACAGATGATTCCTCTTAATTTTCTCTAACTGTTGTCTTCTTTCTGCAGTTTCCTATAACTGCCATCCGTGAAATTAAAATTTTAAAGAAGCTGCAGCATGAAAATGTTATCAAGCTAAAAGAGATAGTGACCTCTCCAGGTACTTAAAGTTCTACTCTTTTAAAGCTCCAATTTTCATTGCAAGCTTAACAACGTTGATCAATGAATCTGATGTTTTACATTACTTCCAATTCTGTTTAAAGGTCCAGAGATGGATGAACATGGGAAGTCAGGTGATTATTTTTATGTTACGTTTTTTTCAGTTGCTGTATATTATTCTTATCTTAATGATATGCTGGTTACTCTTCAGCTTTTGGATCTTGTTGCTTGACTCTTAGTTTTGTGTTGCACCAATAAATCTCATATGGATGAAATCTTCCTTTCGAGGTTACAGGTGGGCACAAGTACAAGGGCAGTATTTACATGGTTTTTGAATACATGGACCATGACTTAACTGGCCTTGCAGATCGTCCTGGACTGAGATTTACCATTCCCCAAATCAAGGTAATATATCTATTATTGATGAAAGTAATGTCTATAGCAAAATTACCTGACTCCTAACAATGTTTTCTTCTAGTGTTATATGAAACAACTACTGACAGGGCTTCACTATTGTCACGTCAATCAAGTACTCCATAGGGATATAAAAGGTGATTGGTCAGAACAAATTCTTTGATTGTGGATTCTTTACTCCTCTTCATTGGTAGCTTATATGCAGTGATGCTCCTCTCTGCAGGTTCTAATCTTCTAATTGATAACGAGGGAAATCTAAAGCTTGCTGATTTTGGGTTAGCACGGTCATACTCCTCAGACCATAAGGGAAATCTCACAAATCGTGTTATTACTTTGTGGTATAGGTAAGTTCTTCATACAAACCATTTGCTTGATCCCCTCCCTGTTTATCAACCATATCTCACTTAAGACTGTTGTGACTCTGTTATGGAGCAGGCCCCCAGAACTGTTGCTTGGAGCTACAAAATATGGTCCATCTGTTGACATGTGGTCAGTTGGTTGCATCTTTGCTGAACTTCTGCATGGCAAACCAATCTTAACCGGTAAAAATGAGGTTAGTTGCTTTACTCTCCCTTGTGTGCGTGATGTGTAAAAGTAAATACCACCCCTCATGTTACTATCAGGGTTTTTTTTGGGTTCAAATTTCAAAATCAATTTTACCTTTTGATAAACATGTATGTTTTGAAATTTGAATGTTCACTCATAATCAGTTGTATATACAAGATGAGACATGTATCTCATGGTAGAGGGATTGATTAAGGATGGTTGAGTTTTATCGGTGTTTTCTAAGAGCTCAACTCGAAAAAGTTAAGTGGCATGTTACTTACTGAAGCAATCATCATGATGTACCCTTCCCTAAATTAAAAGCCTGTTTTAACTAGTGTTAGCTGAAATTAGATAACTGGGGTTTATTCTAGTTAGCATTTTGTATAGTTTCCTATTTGTGTGTGTACATCTCTTTTTATTACGAATATACATAAAATACGAACTTACATGGTATTAAAGCTACTTTGAAAACCCTAATAGTAAAAAAATATCACAACATCAAAACCGCCACCCTCGTTGCGATTTGTCGAAATCTATGCCATCGCTGTCTTTGATAGTCAAAACTCTAGCTGGTTGCTGTTGCCGGTCAAAACCCTAGCTTCGTCTACCACCATTGGTCACCTTGTTGCTGCTAGAACCCTAGCCACCACCATTGTTTTTGGTGGTCTATTTCTGATCTCTTTTTTGCTAACGATTGTCGTCAGATTTACGTTTTTGATACTTATGTTGCTTTTGGTGAATTTCAAGAAAATCACTTTTATCTTGTTTGATTTTGGGTTTCTTCTAGTCATCCGGTCTAAGTCACTTTGTTGAGGCGTATGGGCGGAAAAAATCTCCTGTCGTGACATATTTGGTGTGAGTGATGTCTAAAATCACGGATCATTGGCTAAATGGTTTGAACTTTTTTGGGTTGGAGTAAGACTGTTCTTTTATCTTTGAAATATCAACAAAGATGATCATTTGACTGATAACCCTCGCCGTTTTGAAGAAGGATGGCCCATAGAGGATGCTTGTTTATTATTTCAGATTCAAAACTTTATTGATAGTGAGGTAATTGGCTTGATCAATCACTTCGAATTCGTTAAGGAAGTTATGGATTATTTGGAATTTTTGTACTCCGGTAAAGGGAATATCTCCTGCATGTATGAGATATGCAAAGCCTACTAACCCCTTATAAACTATTTTATGGGGTTCAAGAAGACATGAGGAGCTTAATTTTCTTGCCCTTTAGCCTTCGTGCAAAAGTTCAACAAAGCCAATGGGATAGCCGGCCTGTCTCCTGATTTTGAATTTGATGTGTCACAAATTCTCTGTTGCTCTGAGCTCATCTTTTTAGAAGATGTCTTTAGTTGCTTTTCCGAACAGGAAGTTCCTTTCCATGCGTTCCGCCTTGTTAGTGTCAAACACATTACTTTTCCAATTTAAAAAAAATAATAGATTTTTTTGTTATTGATTGAAAACTGATTTCCATATTACACTACAATCACATACGATGAGATTAAAACATAACGAAACCAAAAAACTATAAGCATCCACAGAGTTGACTCATGGAACATAAGAATATTCGACACCTCTGTCATGGCTTTGTACTTGTATTCTGCACAGAGCAAGAAATCATGCTGCTTTCAGCTTTTTTCTGGATACAATATTTCATTTCATCTAATGAACACACAAAAGCCAGTAATCGATCTCCGTATGATCAGGCATCTGGCCCCGCCACCARCAATCATACTTGACCCTTCTTTAGCGATTGCTTCAACTCTGTAATGACTCTGATTAGAATACAAGATTCCTYGACCTGACGCGCTCTTGAGATACCTTAGAATACGAAGAACAWCATCCGGTGAGAAGTGTAGGGACTGACTGCACTAACGGAATAAGCCCTTATACAGTCAAATAGTCAAGGTTTCCCATCAAATGTTTTCAGAAGAGGCTTGCCATCCCCAATGAACTATAACACAGGTAAATCTACTTGTTTACAGCAATGTACTCAGAAAATCTTGGCCATACTTTAGCAAAGAAGTATCCCTAGCTGTTATTGTGATACCGACCCAAGTATGGTAGTCAACCAAAATCTGACAGATAATTTTTTTTTTGCTCTGCCATATCGTGATGATCATCATTTCTTAGGACAAGGCTGTCTAGAAAGACCACCACGACAATATGCTTGTCTTGTCGATAATTGTGGAACAGGGATTTGTCATTATCTCTTAATTACGGACATCCCAAACTCGTGAACCTGAAAAAAGCAAGCAAACCATGAAGTACGGCAATTGACAAATGCATTTTTGATATCTAACTGGACAAGTATTATAGTATACGAATATTTTCAATCAGAACTCTCCTTTGAGTGTTAGATTGATAAATTCAAAGTTTGTTTCCTGCCTAAAAGAGATGTCTGACTGGATAAACTTGACCGCTTATAAAAAATACCATAATTTGACTGATTCTCTTATCCCCTGTTATTACATCATTGAAAAGCTATGGCATGGAAAATTTATTTCTTGCTTCTATTTGTTGCAGCCTGAGCAGTTGAACAAGATATTTGAGCTTTGTGGATCTCCTGACGAGATCAACTGGCCTGGAGTTTCCAGAATCCCTTGGTACAACAAGTTCAAACCAAGTAGGCAGATGAAGAGGCGAGTCAGAGAGGTTTTCAGACAGTTGAGCACACTCCATGCTTATTTAAATTAGTGTTGTTGCTTAATTGTAAATGAAGAAGGTTGAGTTTATTCTGGTTAATATCCCCTGCACAGCTTTGACCGTAATGCTCTTGAGTTATTGGAGAAGATGTTGACTCTTGATCCATCGCAGGTATGCTTTTTTTGGGGGACAAACTCTGCTTTGACAATGCATTCTGTTTCAAACTTTTAGCTCCGTCAAGAATATTTTCTTGTAACCATCTTATCTTCCTCTACATTGATGTGGAGAGAAACATCTTAGATTTATCCCCGCCAATTATAACCTACATTATGTTCTTGTGAATCACCAATTCTTGACCATGCTTGCTTTGATGAGGATTAGCTTAAATGTTTCAAATGCTGTTTTGTAGGGGTGTGCAGAAAGTTATCCGATCCATTTAAACTGACGTTCATAATTGGATATTTAATTGTAATTCGATCGGATTGGATCCAAAATTTCAACATCCAAATTGGATCAGTTTGGTTCTTGGAGGGCAGTCTAGCATCCACTAAAACCGAACCGATCCAATGACCATCCAGTTATCATCCAACTAATACCGAATTAATAACTATATATAATTATTACATTTTACGATATTGTTTGTTGGTTGATATTTGTATGCATTGTTTTTTAATAACTTGAGAAAATATATGAATAATTGGTTGAAATGGTGGATTAATTGGTTGAGTATTGGATCAAAATATTGGATGAATCCAATCCGATCCAATGGATAAACCAATAGTAACATCCAATGGATAGAACCGATCCGATCCAATCATTCATTGGATTGGATCGGATCGGATGTCCAATGTTAGTCGGATTGGATTGGATGACAAAATTCAACATCCAATGGATGATTGAATCGGATAGGATCCACCAAAATCCATTGGATTTCAACCGATGAACACCACTACTATTTTGCACCTAGAACATAACAATCTTTGGTTGCTGATCGTAGTATAAGATGTGAATAAGTAAAATCTTAACCCAATCAAGAGCCTTATAACTATACATATTTGGGTGAGATTGTTTGGATGCCTTTTTGTGCTGAACATGATTGTTCTGTACAAAGGTTCAGGTTACTGAGTCGATAGTTAAATTTTACATTGTTCCTATTCTTATATCCATTTTTCTAAATTTAAGCATGCCTGCTTCTCTCTCTCTCTTTCACACACACACACACACACACTATTCAGTTTTCACAAGCCAGGGTTCTTCACGGAAATAGTCGCTCTACACTTTGAGGTAGAGGTCGGTCTGCTTACATCTTACCCTCCCCGGACCCCACCTTCTGGTGGAATATTTTGGGCTAGGTTGGTTTGGTTTGGTTTGGTTTGGTTTATGCATCCCCCTGTTTTCCATTTTCATCATTTTCCTAAAGATGGGCTTAAATTTTCCTTATATAATGTCATCTTTTGTAATAACACGAATCTCTTATTATCTGCTCGTAGTTGAATGAAATATAAGAATGAAATATAAGGTCGTTTAGAGCTTACCTCGTTGCCTGCTAATCATCAAGTGTGCATGTAGTTTGGTTTCTTGATACTTGATTTTGATCACTTTTGGGTTTCTTTATGTACTCCCTTTTTTGTCTCGTTTTGTATAGAGGATATCCGCAAAGGATGCACTGGATGCTGAATATTTCTGGACTGACCCGTTGCCTTGTGACCCAAAAAGGTATGTCTTCATTGAACTTTCCCAACGTGCCTTTTTGTGAGATTTTATTCAATCCGTCAGGATACGGTTCTTGTGTTTTAGCTAGTATACTCAAGATACTATGGCAAGCGCCTCTTAATAAGGGCGATTTGCTTATCTTGAGAGGACACTAGCGGAAAGTTCAAATGAAAACCATAAATATTTAAAGAACCCGGGAACCAACTATTTCACGTATTATTCATGATGAATAACTTTGAATAATCATGAATAGGATTCATTATGAATACCATTCATTTTCATAATTCATGATATCGTGCATTTTCATCATGAATATTTATCACAACATTCATTGTGAATAGTTGTTTCCCAGATTCTCAAAATATTTACGCTTCTCATTCAATCCTGCCCAGAGAATACTGATCTATTTCCTTTCTGTTGATCTTGTCAGTTTGCCAAAGTACGAGTCCTCACATGAGTTCCAAACAAAAAAGAAACGACAACAACAACGCCAGAATGAAGAAATGGCTAAAAGGCAGAAACTACAACATCCGCAGCAGCATGCACGCTTGCCGCCTGTGCAGCAATCTGGGCAAGCCCAAGCTCATTCTCAGCACTGGGCTGGACATAATAACCATCCGATGGGCAACACAGGTCAAGCTTCCTTGACCACAGGGGGACCTAGCCATCATCAGTACGGAAAGCCTCGCGGACCTCCTGGTGGGCCCAACCGTTACCCTCCAGGTGGGAATCCTAGCGTGGGTGGATATTATCCAGATCGAGCAGGGGGTCAAGGTGGTGTCGGTTTTAGTGGCGGACCGTATCCTCCACAGCCTCGTGCAGCATCTGCTAGTGGGCCTAGAGGAGCTTCTGGCAGTTACGGTGTGGGCCCACCAAACTATTCACAGAACGTTCAGTATGGCGGTGGTTCTGGCGCAGCGGCTAGAGGTCCGAATGTGGCGGGTAACCGTAACCAGCCATACAGTTGGCAGCAGCAATAGTATTTGGGAGGTGAATAGAGAGAGAGAAGAGGAAGAGTTTTGGAAGTGTTGACTGCAGTTTGGATCTAAATTATATGCAGCTTCTTGAGGGAATGAATGAATATGTATAGTTGTTACTTCTGAACTTCTCAAAAATTGTTGTAAGATGCAATGGTTCTTATGTTTCTACAATGTGAGGTTTTAGATGGATCCCATCTATTTTTTTTGTCTCTTCTTGTCTTTTTAGTTTATATTTTATTTTTGGGTGACAATAGGTATCCAGGTCAGTTTTACATGAATGGCCTGTAGTCATCGCAAGTGAACCTTCATGGCTACAAGGGTTTTGACGGCACCTGGTTCGAATATTGTGACCAAATGGTCATTGGTAAAACGATACCAGGGTTACCGCCTGGTGCCCGCTTTCAACTTCACTGAAGGTGTGTGTAGTAACTTTCAAATCTTTTGGTGATTGAACTCGTAAGCTAGCCGTTTAGTGGGTGGTGAAGTGTTGTATACCTGATTTGTCTCTCATATGATGTTTTTATGACTAGGCAATGTGGGCTCGTGGGTTGTTGGTTATAAACCTTTTTGCATTAGTCCATGGTTGAATCGTATTTTCTACTTAGGTATATCATTTTCCAAATCATGAGCATATATATATATATATATATATATATATATATAGGGATGTTATTCTACACCCTTTGCCATTCCTACATCCTATACAACCCTCATCTCAACCATTCAATTTTTAATCAATTAATTGTTTCCTAATATAAAGTATTAATCATAATTAATAAACTCTATTCATATTCCATAAATATTCAAATCATAATAAATGAACTCCAATCATTTCTATAAATATCTTAATTAATTGGGTTGCAAAGGTTGTACAAATGCACAAGGTTGTAAAAGAAATATACCCTATATATATGTATATATATGTATATATATATATATATGTATATATATATATATAGGTGATTTATTATACGTTTGTTGTTTGTCTAATCTAATGAATATGTGGTTTCATAAATATCTCGATTATTTCCTAATATAACTCGTTGATCATAATAAAAGACCTCTCATCGTTTTTATAAAAGTCAAAATACAGTCTTTTTACTAGATATGTATATGTATTTGAATTTTTGTTGTTATTTTTATGCATTTAAAAAATAATTAAGATGTCAATGCATGTCAAAATTAAAAAAACCTTTGAAGTTAAATTTCAATGAGAATGAAAGTTACGACAAATAAGAAATCTTCACCATTGAATCAATCCATCAACACTAATGTAATGTACCAGATTAATGCTCGTGATAAACGCAATTCATAGACGAGGGTGAGATTAAAAGGGAATGAAGCATGCGTATTTAAGAAATGTTATTTTGGGTGTTCCACCGAAAGGGTTTCGTTTTTAGATAAACAAGAATCGGAGGAAAAAGAAGCGTTATCACCAATTCCAGCATCTTTCTTTTACTTTCCATATATACGTGTACACACACACATATATATATATATATATATATATATATATATTATGTATAAGACCAAATTACACTTTTGGTCCCTGTGGTTTCCTCAAAATCTAGATATAAACCCTATTTCGAAATAAGGACATTGTAGGTCCTTTTGGTTTCAATCTATGTCCCTGACTTAACACTGTTACAAAACATCTCTTAAAATCGATCATCTCACATTCTTTTTTGTCTTTTTCCTGTTGAAATATGAAGCACAAATTTGTGAGTACAACCCTCCCTCTCGCCAGCAATATTGTCCCATGTCGACAACATAGTTCTCTGGCATCTCCATTCTCCTGTCCTCTATAACCACCTCCAATTTGAAAATAGAACCCCTGCCAATCTTCATTCTTTGACATCTTTCTCTGATAACCGATTGGTTATCTCTGTCGAGCAGACATAGATTCTCGAGATCTTAGTTTTTTTTTCTTCACACAGACGAGTGGAATCTACTTTTTACACATTAAACTCAGAAAACATGGGATCTTCGTTTTTTTCTCGACAATCAGAGGATGGGAACAGACGGCTAAGATATTCATCTCTAGCCAACACCACCTATTTTTCATACTTCTCTATGTACTTGTAAACACACACACACACACACACACATCACACATAGAGCTTAAACGCTATCTGTAGATAAAAACTCTCTCTCTCTCTCTCTCTCTCTCTCACGCACACACATTGTGAACATCGGTTTTTTTAGCAAGGAGTTGGAGGTGGGTTTTTGTGTGTGTGTGAGAAAGAGAGATGTATGTTTAAGATGAGGTGAGTTAGGAGGGAGTGGTGGCGACGTCAAATGGAGGGAATAACGGGACACATTGAATCATACGAGTCTGTCTTAAATAGGGTTTTTGATTATAAAGATATTAATTTAAAACAAAAGATTTACCCCTGACTTAACGGATGTATTTTAACAGAGTTAGTGTCAGGGACCTAGCTTGGAACGAAATGCAAACTACAGAGACTCAATGTACTTATTTCAAAATAGAAACCATATTTAGATTATGAGCAAACCACAGGGACCAAGAGTGTAATTTACTCAATATATAAATATATATATAAATATATTCTTTCCATATATTCTTCTACTGTCATCCCACGGGACCTCTCTCTCTCTCTCTCTCTCTCTCTCTCTCTCTCTCTCTCTTACATCTGTGTATTTTCGAAAATGCACACACCACACCAACACCAACACCATCATCTTCTTCGCCTTCAAATCTGTCACGTACTGTTGCTTCTCACACATCTCTAGCATCACTACATTCTCTCTCTCTCTCTCTCTCTCTCTCTCTCTGTTAAAAAGCTCAAGCTACACCTCTACATGATAATGGCGGTCAACTCTACACAACAGGTAAGTTCAATTTCTCATGCTTTGCATTTCCGATTTGTCGTTTCTTCAGCTCATAAATTTAGGTTTCTACTTCTTCATCATTAAATTAACTCTGTATTTCTTCTTCTAATTCGTAATCAGTAGCTTAAACTGCATGTTGTTGGAAAATGTGCTTCGATTAAGTTTCAATAATAATATGTTCGAGTTTCATCTTCCCAAACTTTTTGCTACCTGTTGGAAACTGCGTTGCATTGTAGGTCAATCGACTCTGATTTTGATTGTGTCAAATCGTTCAGTAGTATCATAGATTTCGATGGATGAAGAATGATTGTGATTTTGAGGTATTTGGAAATTTGGGGGTTGGCTTTTAGGGTCACGAACGGATTTTAAGAGATTGCGGGTCCTGTGGTGGGTGCTATTATATAATAGCCGAGTTGGTAACACGACGGAGCGACTTTATTCAAATACACAAAGAGGTTCAAGTTAGGGGAGCGGGTTGAACCCCTTCGCTAGCCTCAGCTGTTGAGTAAGTTCTGAAATGTCTGTTCATATGTGGTTCCTAGGAGGCAGGTACTTGTGTGTCTAGTCGGGTTGCCGGTAATCAAACTTTTTGCTCAAATAATAAATAATACTAGGAATGTGACGGGGAGGGTGGCTCCATATTGGGTCAGCTGGAGCGTTCTGTATTTGAATGTGACATGCTGTCTTTTTTCTATTTTTGAACTTTATTCTGTACTTTACAGAAGCAGAAGATAGTGTAGTGATTGTAATTATACACTATGCTAACCTTGGGGACCATTTCAACCAGCAAATAAAAGTTAGGCCTTGGGGTTCCTCCTCATAGGTCACTTGTTCGAGTCTAATTAGGGCCACTGGAATTTTCCTCTCTGGTATCTTCAGGGCCTCATAGGAGTTGTTGAGATGCGCGCAAGCTGGTCTGGATACCCATGGTCACAAATATACCTTATGTTAATTGATAGGAGTAACCATTAGAGTGGATAGTTTCTTGTTAGAGTGATACCTAAGCTTCTGCTAGGCAAAAGTTATGATGATGAAGTATGGTGGCAGTAGTTGTAGAAACATAAAGGCTAGATAGGTAACTTTGTTTGTGCTATATACTTCAAGTTCCCAAAGGGTCATTGGCTAAGTGGTATTTGGGTTACCAGTAAATCCTAGCCGAGTCGCCCTGGAGGTCAAGGGTTCAAACCTCATGAAAGGTTAGGAGTGTGCTTGTGTATTTGCCATTCATAAATATTATATACTTAAAAAAAGTTCCCTTTGCTCAACCCTGGTGGCCCTCTACCATATAGGATTCCTCGTTTATCTTATGAAAGAGATGCATGGCATCAAATTGACACAACTGTTGGTGTAAGAATCATAGGTGTAACAATCCGTCCCTCATAGATAGAAGATTAGATATGTGAGCTCCTTATAAACTCAAAGTTGTTGGCTACCAATAACTTTCTCCATTGTTTTAAGTTGATTTGGAGGTTATTGGGACAGTCTGAGCAAAGCAGAAAACTTCCAACTGAGATCCTTGGCGAGATCAATTCTTAATGTGAAAGCATATTCAGAGGAAGGTAAATTGCTTGATGATCCATAAAGATAGAAAATAATTACAAAGAGGATATCCCCTTTTTGGTGGGCATGATGCATTGGTTTATATCTTCTCTACCTGGACACTGGACTTTGTGATATCTTAAAATTCCCCAGGGGAAGTTCTTTTATATATGGATTAGGGATGGGCATGGTGTCCATCATAAATGAAGAATACTCCTTTTTGGCAAAGTTTCAATATTGGGTTACCATTTTACTTATTAGTCATTACTGATCTTACGGAATATGCTAGCATTGATTTCGATCCACAAATTCCTCCATATGTTGTATTTATTTTTGGACTGTTTGGGTGCTATTTTTTATATTTATTGCAATGAAGTTACCAAATCATGCATGTTTTTTACTTGAATTCAGATGTGATTAATTAGGCATGTGCGTTATCCTACTTTGAGGAGATTCTTATCTTCAAAGTTCAATCAATGCAGGGATGTGATTCTTATAGTGTTGTTGGTTTACCTGATGAAGTCAACACCATACCTCACTGCGAATTGCCAGTAGCTCTCTCAGATTCCTTGGAAGATTATGTGCTCCTTAAAAGCCAGATTTCATTGGATGACCAACTGATAAATAGTCAAACCTACATCAATGTAATGGTGGAAAATCCCGCTGCTTATTCCAAATGCATTGAAAAAGTTGTAGACATTGAAAAGGGGAAGTCAGAGACACCTAGAATCAATGAAGAAACTGTTGATAACTTGAAGAACAATGAAGGGCAGATGGTGAGTTAACAATATTTGTTGATACAAACTAAAATTTTGAAATGACAGAACATCTGGATGTGATTCCTTGATTGTCTAAAGTGCTACCAATTACCTGTCAATAAGACACAAAGTTACAATATCTTGTTTCGGGAAAATTCTGTTCCAGTAATCTTACGTGTTTGGTTTGACGGAATTTTTTTGAAGGATTTAGATTTCTTGGAAGGATTTGGAATCTTTGATGTGTTTGGTTTCTAGGATTTGGTAATGGAATTGAATTTCAATTTCCAAAGAATGGAATTTATTTTTTTGTAAGTATTTGTTTATTTGGGTAAAGATGTGGAGACAATTGAGAGATTAAGGCAGATTTGATGAGAGAAACAATTGAAATCCATGGGATTTGGATTTGAAATGACAGCCATCTCCAATGGATATCTAAATCTGTTGGTTGTGGGATTTCAAATCCAAACTTTCCTTCAAACCAAGCAAATCTAAGCAGTCTTTCTATTGTAGTTCTGTTTATTACATGTTTATAATTTGGTGTATTAATGGCATTTTGCAGAAATCATTGCAGAAGCAAATTAGCTTCGAAATGGGAGGCAAATACATGCAGTTGTTGATGAATCACAGCCTAATCTTACCTAAGTTCTCTACTCGAGGTACTTTAGTATATTGTTGAAGACTGCATTGGTTAACTTTACATGAATCTTAATAGAAAATCTATAAGTCAAATGTCAAAAATATCCCTTACCTGACAAAAGAGACAAATAAGTATTCATGTCAACTTCTGGTCCTCAAATTGAAGTAATCTTGTGAGCCAAAATCAATATCATAAATATTTCTAGATTTATGACTTAGGAGTAGGTAATTTTGGCTAAAAATTTACCAGAAAAAGGAGACGTTGCAAATAATATGGGAGATCCAAAATGAAATGTATTGTTTGTGTGAGAGGGAGAGAGGACAAGAAAGAAAATATGTACCACCAAAAAGCATGCAATAACAAATTATGGTGGCAAATGATACAGCTTGACCGGAAAAAAGGAGAAAGGTTTATGTCAATCTTCTTGTTAAGCCCTAATATAATCTTGTTCCTTGAGACTGCTATACGGGACAAGACAGTATAAAAACATGTTTCCATGTTTGAGGCGACATTGGACTGGGACATGACATGACTTAAGTGATACAAAAATGCTTTTTCTCTGGCCCACCAAAATAGTGGAACAAAAATCATGTAGATGAGATAAGATTGGTAAATTATTAAATCACCCATGTCAAATTAAAACCCTAAAAGTTCTTTCACCCATCTACCTCCCTCACTCACTCTCGCCCGTCTAGTCTCTACGTACCAAATGCACCCAGAAAGTCTTGGAACTTGTTCTTCATCTCGAATGCATGGCTGGTTAAGATTATAGATCAAGTTCTTTTACATGAAATTAATTCCAAAACTTTAAACCTCTTGTAATCTTCCTATTTAAGCTTTTGTTGTATAAGTTCATCTTGCGATCAGTCGGTTTTATCCCTTAAGAGAGAGTCGGGTTGATAAATGCTGTTATTTGACAGATAGAACTGCAGCTGAGAAAGTCGTTCTTGAGGCTCCCAGATTGAGGAAATACAAGCGCACTGCCTCGTTCAATTCAAGAAAAGTTGTTCTTCTGTTCTCAGTATTGTAAGCTCACAACCTATTATCCTATCAATACCTTCGCCTCAAAGTTAAATTAATGACCACTTTTCCATCATTTCAGCATTTGGTTTCAACTTGTTTTTAATCAATATATTGTTCTTACTGCTTTTAGATCCAATCCCACCACACCAGTAGGTTTATGTGTTCTAGAAGACATCAGAAGGGGTAATCCAGGGATTTTGGACATAGGGTGTTAAAGGGTAGTCTGGGTATTACTCAAAATAAAGTGGTTAGAGTATGTGCATTGGAGAGCTCTGTCCTCTCAAATAGCCAGAAACCCTTCTTTTTCTAGTCAACAGAAACCCTTCTTTTTCTAGTTCATGTTTCCAGTGCTATCTTAGTTTGTCCCGAAATAAGTGTCTACTTTCAAAAGTTAATGCCTACTTTCCAATTATACCCTTAATTATGATGGAGAGATTCATTGCTCCCACTATTGTTAAGGGTATAACCATCATCTAGTTAAACAAAAAGTGTAATAATCACATCTCCAGAACTTTGTGCCTTTTTTTTTTGTAGATATTTATTTTGGGACAGAGTGATTGTTGTTATTTTTGCTAAGCAAATAGAGTCAAACACCATTGTCCATAATTTGGTGCTGTCTTATTCAACCATTAATGCGTTCGTCTTTCTGTTTACTTCTTTTGCAGGTCGAGTTTGGGAACAATTATACTCATATATCTAACACTAAGAGTCAAACAGATCGGTGATGCCTCCTCTACCCATTCCGAGTAAATTCATTTTACGTTCCTTCACTTTGGGTGCTTCGGAGAACATTAACTTTTAGGGTTTTATTTCTGCATGTTTTGAAGCATCTTCTACAATGTCAGCTGTACATAAGTTGAGAATAGTGTCACTTACCTCCAATGGTTTGATCTCCACTTGTTTTTAAGGCTTGGGTTCACATGAGATCATCCTGTTTTCGTGAGTAGACCCGTGAGACCACAAAATAACATTGAACCTTCACGGTGAAGCATTGTGAAGGTACAAAAAACACTGAACCTTCACAACAAAACATTGTGAAGGTTCGGTGTTATTTTTGTGGTCTTATGAAAAACAGGATGGTCTCATGTGATCCCAAGTTCTTGTTTCAAATTGCATTCTTTATATATGTGGCTGGAACATTAGGAAGAGTTAAGAGCAGATTATGGCTATTCCCATCTGGATAGTGGTATGTGGACTCACCGAGTTCTGGGGTTCGACGTACTCCAGGCACCACCCACCTAGGATATGAGTCGTGCGACCAGCTTCTGTTGGACAATAGAGATTGGATTCGACCTATCAAGTACTTTGGTTTCTTGAAATTTCTTGGTTGTTGAAGGACCAACTTCTGTCTGTGTAGATTAATCTGCCCATTTAGATTGGAAAAGTTTTTGTTTGGAAGAGTTTTTTCATAGATGAAAGGAGTGTGGTATCTAATTAGAAAGGGCAGGTTTGCGAAAAACTTGGCTTTTTGCATAAAGATCTCGCTTAGAAGCTTAATGAATAAGCCACTACCAAACAGTCGTATATTGTTGACAAAATAAGTTGCGAGTCTCGTTAAGCTGCTAATAGACAAGTTCTAAATTAACTAATAATATACTACAACAAATGGCCTATAATAACTACACTTTCTAGTTCCTCCATTTGATATCTTCCAGCCAAATCCATTCAGATTTTTCAACTTCATCTCTCTAAAACTGCATAAACAAAAAAACTCAAACCTGAAGTTATTTGTGAAAGCTTCAATTCTTTGGTTTTCAGTCACCTCTTAATCTACATCATGCGTTACAATTGAATTGTAGTTCTTTTTCCTAATCAACTTAGGGGTTGTTTACCAAATGCTTAACGGGTAAGCGCTTATTGGCATGAGACATCACCGGTCATCCTTACTTACCTTATCATGTAACATTCTTGGCCATCAAAATGGATTGTTGTAAAACGTCTTAAACCCAGTAAGCGCTTAGCAGGTAAGACTCTCAGTCTTTGCTATGCCTCTTACCAGGTAAGATTATCAATCCTTTCAATGCTCAATTGGTAAAGGTAAGTGATATTAATAAGCGCTTACCTGGTAAGTGTTTAGTAAATGGCCCCTTACATAAATTGGAATAATAAGTCATACCAAGCCATGTTTCTTTGGCTGAACGGTTGCTAAAAACTGCCACGGATCATGTAGACATCACACCGCAAATTTTACAACCTAAGTTGCTGCATCAATCTATACGTAAGTACTGAATTTGAGAGGCTTCGGAACTCGGAAGCGCAAATAATCTTTTGTTTCTACGTTTAGAAATGCAGTGCAAACACTAAAGTGTGTAGTTTTCTTCGGTTGGTAGCTGTTTAGCAAGTGCAACTAGAAAACGAGTTAGGTGTCTTTTAGCTCTCGATAGTCCTACGTCTGTTTCTGTGCCAACCTTCTCCTCTGATGTAGTGGCATTACGGTCTTGCATAGAGCAGAAATTTCGCACAAGTTTACGCAACTCCTGAAAAGGAAGACGATCATATGACGTTTTATGTGATTCCATCCCGTCAAGTTAATTTCATTTTAGTAACACGTGATAAATCGTCTATTCTATCATGAATAAATCTATGTGGAAATTGAAATCATTCGCCACCTGATAGCAGCGTCAACAGGAGGAGCGGACCCACATGAAATAATACGATGGCACGGGCCACTGCTTAATGGTTCCGTCATAGGGAGAAAAATTACATTTCTGAAGAGTATCACAGTGTTGTTATGTCGGGGCCACCTTATAGTTTTTGAAACTGCAATCTTAGCCCAAGTTTTTGTTGGTGAACGCTCCTGCTTTTGTAGAAAAGGCCTAAGTTCGAGTCCTACAGTTGTCAAATTTGTTGTTTTTTATTTACCTCTATTTTTTTTAAAATATATGTATACCCGACTCAAACATGGGTCTCTTCTATGTAAGGACAAAGAACCAACCAAGTGATCTATACTAATATTATATGGAAAAAAAAATTATATTCAACTTGCCATCTTTTTTCTCTCCCCATTTGATAAATGTTGAGAACAATATTTAGGGTCCGTTTACCTAAATATTTACCCGGTAAACACTTATCGGTAAAATTCAACACTATCACTTACTTACTGGGTAAGATTTTATTCACTAAAACGCATCGTATGCAACAATTTATCCCGGTAAGCGCTAACCATGGTAAGAGTCATCGTCCTCACTTACCGGGTAAGACTCTCGATTCTTGCTTTCGCTCTTATCGGGTAAGATTTTTAGTCCTTGCCATATTCATCCGGTAAAGTAAAGTGACTTGGTAAGCGCTTACCCGGGTAAGCATTTGGTAAACGACACCTTAGCCTCTGAAGCTCAATAGATAACTACATAATTTAAAACCCCCGTAACTCCATGGTATCAAATAATGGCAGCAAAAAGATGATCTCCAACTTACAGAGACCTCCTTCCAACATATTTGATCATGGGTTTGGTAAGTTTGATTGTGTTTAGGAGGATATAACAGTGCTCAGAAAGTAAATATTCACAGTAAAACATCAGTTTCATCACATGTGAATAAGCAAAATGCGAAAAGAACTTACTTGACGGTCAAACTCGACAGTACTAAGAGAGTAAATCTCATTAGCGATATCGACATCTTTGTTAACCAAGCCATCAAACCATCTGGTTGCTATATCATGGTAATCACCAAACCCCTGTTTTAAGATGTAAAACGAAGCATTATAAGATTCCATATAAGCATGGTTTTTAAAAATCGTTTGAGGCGTACAACTCGAGACGAGGCGGCCAAAAACCGCACTTGAGATGGTGCCTCTTGGATCCTGCACGAGGCTTACGCCTTGGTTCAATGAGGCGCATAACGCCTCAGATGATCTGCTTTGATAATGGTTTTCTTGGCTTTTTTACAAACTTTATGGTAATAGTAGTACTTTTCTTTATAGTATAAGTGTTTTTTTTAATCTAAAAATCAAAGCCCAATGAATCCAATGTGTAATTTTAATATTTTAAAACTCAAAGCTAGTATTTTCTCCTCTCAATCAAAAAGTGTGGTTTGACCTTTCCTCTTCCTTCGAGCAACCAAAATTTCCACACCCTCTCAATCTATCTCACGATTTCACTTTTCCTCTGTCAAGAATAGCTAAATCAACACTCTTAGTAATTTAGTATTATATATGGGGTTGGGTTCCGATGAGAAGGAAAGTTAAGGTGAAAAGCGTAAGAAGAGATCTCCACCCTTGGATGCACATTAGGTTGAGATGCACCAAATCAATCCCCATATCAAGCGCAGGTCAAGATCCTTTCTCACGCTTCTCATCTTAACTCTCCTTCTCACACGATCTTTCGCCTATATATACATACACTGTATATAAATATAGACGAAGGTTCGTGTAAGAATAGGAGTTAAGGTGAGAAGAGTAAAAAGGAATTTGGACCCTTGATCACTTTTAATCTCACACCCACCCATGAACTGTGCTTATCACGGGAATTGATCCGTTGCATCTTGGTGCACCACATTAGTATTGATCTTTAATTAGGAGTTTATGACTGATTCAAATGTGGAGATCCCTTCTTATTATAACTTCCATTCTCACCGGAACCCAACCCTATAAATGTATATATATTTGTGTAGTATATATACATATTTTGGTGTATATATATTTCCTCCTTGCGGCATACGCTTCTAACCGCTTCAAGGCCCAGTTCCGCCTTTTAAAACCTTGTAAGATGTTTTTCATAGAAACCACACAAAAAGGAATCTATTAGGCATACCTCCTCATCGTCATCTTCATCTTCGGTTTCTCCTTCCTCCTCACCCGTCTCTCCAAGGTCCAATTTATCTGAACCAGATAACTCCAGCAACTTCTGTTGATCACCATCTTTAGTTGCTTGAATCAATCCATCCATTAATTCAGGTTGCACGTCCCGCAACAACCTTCCTATAAATAGATAATAAATAGTTAATACATAACATAAAGGCCTCTCTGTGAACAACTTAATGAGCTTAATGGAACTCACAACTTATTCGGTTAACTAACATGACCATTCAGTAGTGGTTTAATGACATAAAAAGTGGCTTATTGAGTAAGCTTTTAAGGGGAGTTTTATGCGGAAAGCCAAGTTTTTTTCCAAACATGCCCCTGCCAATTAAAAACATGCTCCTTAACCATCCCAAACTATACAAACAGGTTAATCCACACAGTCAGCTTTACCAACTGCACAGCCCCTAAGTTCACTGATCAATGGCGTACAAGAATCAAGGATGGTGTGGAGAACCCTTTGTCAATATGCAAGACAGTTTTTCAAATAGTAGTTTTCACATCTCTCACAAGAACTATGGAGAAAGAACAAAAGTTCATAGAAGATGATTTAGGTCCTGCATTCATTAACTACATCTCATAAAAAACTGAGCTGGTGGGTTAGCCTGAAAATGGAAGAAAAACACACATACATATGTATGTATCTACAGGCATATGCTTGTGGGTGTGATCATAAAGATAAAAGTGCTGCCATTTATCATACCAAGCCAAGAAAAGAAGCTAAAGTGGTCCACAAATTAAGGCCTTAATTTGTGACTTCTTACGATGCATTTGCAGTATATATGAAAACTATTGTGTTCTATTAATAAATTTAATATTTTTTACGTCAAACTCAAATCTACGGAAAGTTGAAGGAGAACCATAAGATGGTTTCCAACTTCATAACAATCATGGCAAACAAAACAACTGCCATCAATAGTATCAATTACTAACGACAGTCGAGAAATGTTTCGGGACAATAATTTAAGAGGAAGTCATGCTACTTGTTAAGAATGATGACAAACTTATAGGTATTTTGCAAATATTTGTTGTTCATGTACATCTTTTACATGTTAGTAAATTGCTTTACTGTTTCTTCCTCTTATTCTTGCTAGAAATTGTCTTTCTGGAATTTGTTTAGATGATTTGGTTGTTATTAGTGTTTAAATTTGGGCAAAATCGCCCCACCCCTTTGCCAACTGAGGTACATGTCAGAGGCGTTTCAGCATGTAGCTCAGTTAGCATAGGGGTGGAATGACTTTGCCCAAATACAAGACAAGTCCCAGGTTTGATCCCGGGCACCCCCACTAGCCTCAACCGCTGAAGAGCCAAAAAATGCCCCCTCACATTGATGTCCTTGGAGGTGGGTTCCGTGTGGGGCTGGTTGGGGTTGCAGGCAATCAACTTTTTGCCCAAATTCATCTATTTAACGGTTTCAGGGGAAAAATTAGGATTTCCACACGCTACTTTATTTAATGACTCTCTGAGGAAAATGATTATTGAGTAGAAAACATCATTATCTTGTTACTCTATGAATTATGCTATCTACTGAAACAGCATTTGAAGACAAAATAGGTCAATATCTTGTAGACAAAGAGAAGTATGTTGTGAATTTCATACCTATATAACTGAACTGCCTTCGCTTTCCCTCTCGGACATCGCGGCCTAATCTCTGTTGCAAATTAGAACATATTTTATGGTTGTAATAAACTGAATAATCACATATAAAGTGTGTGTGTGTATCTTTATATATATATATATATATATATATATATATATATATATTAATAAGGCTAACCTTCACCAACATGAGAGCATCAAACACCTCTTCTTCAAGTGAAGCGATTCTAGATAAGAAAAACAAGCTTTACTACACTTTTACATGAAATAAAAATAAAACAAGCCTTCACCAAACTATCTAATAATTAGATCAACAATGTCTGGTTCACTAAGATTTAGTAGTAGTGGCCTGCTTCACTGAGTTCTGAACTTTTTCTCGTATACAATTGTCTCAAAGGAAACCTGAAAGTAGCATTTCAGTTACCAAAATTGAGAGGTTGTCAATTTGAAGTTGTAGAAAAGTTCATGTAAGTTTTCTCTACGAGGCAAATGCATACGAGAAAAGTTCAGAACTCAGTTTAAGCTTATTCGGTAAGTCAGCTGTGTATGATGTTTGGTAGTAGCTTAAGAACATAGAAAGTGGCTTATTAAGTAAGCTTTTAATAAGTCAGCTGTATATGATGTTTTGGTAGTCGCTTAAGGATATAGAAGGTGGAAAGTGGCTTATTCTATATTAGCATATAGAAAGTGTAAGCTTTTAGTAGACTTTTAGAAAGCCAAAGTTTTCTCCAAAAAATGTCATTCCCAATTAAGATCAAATCTTTCCATATATGAAAAACCATCCGAAACAAAAACCCTCACAATGTATTACGGACAGATTAATCTATACAGACAGAATATCTTAATGAAAAACCAATCAATTGGTCCCTTAGTGAACAAGATTGAACATCGTAAAATATATGAAATTGGTTGAATAAGAATTCTTCGGCTATATAGACACAAACACACACTGAGATTTACTTTTTCCTTGAATGTTGAGCATTGCTTGGTATTTTACCTGAGGATACGTTTAATTTGAGAATCATTGAAGTCGGCAAGCTGCATAGCCCAACGAACACCCCGACGAGCCTCTCGTTTCTTCTCATTCCGGCTCTTCCATGCTGCATCTGAAGAATCAGATTCGCTATCTCTCTGACTGACTTCGGACGGCAACGGAGCGTCCGCCGGACGGAGACCGCGCGATCGAGATAAATGAAGATTTTTCCGGTGGATGAGAATCGAAGGACTTGTTCCCGTAAAGAATGGGCGGTATTTGAAAATTCCGGTGGAAAAATTCGACAGTTTTGAGTCGGAAATGGAGTTTATGCAGCGCCGGAGAGGCCATTTGGACACCGGCGATAGGATTAGAGGCCTTACCAACAGAGCCATTCGTCTGTGTTTCTCGACGACAACCCTTTGAACAAATACTCTGACCGTTGTCTATTGGTTCTGAAGCCCAAAAAAGACCATGTAGCCCATATTGAGGCCCAATTAAGACCACGTAGCCCATATTGAGGCCCAATTAAGACCACGTAGCCCATGTTGAGGCCCAATTAAGACCACGTAGCCCATGTTGAGGCCCAATTAAGATCATGTAGCCCATATTGAGGCCCGATTTTCTTTCAAACTTAATAGTTAAGACCTGCTTCTGCTTGTCTGCAGCTTAACTAGTTTAACGAGGCTCGCAGTTTATTATGTCATCTATATATGATTTTTTAGTAGGGCTTAACGATATATAAATTGACTTATTCAGTAAGCTTCTAAATGAATACTTTATGCAGAAAACCAAGTTTTTCTCAAAAAACTCTCCTAAAACTTTTTTCCTCGATCTATACAGACAGTCTTATCCATACAAAACTTAATGGAAAACCAACCAAACAACACTTACTATCCTTGCATTGGGATTTGGGGTCATAAGGAAAGATTTTAACGAAAACTAAAAATTATGAACAACCATCAAATTCTATTTGATGGTTTCCGATAACATTTGTAAAATCTTAAGATCGTGTACGGAGAACGAGGTCTATCTGGTAATGAATAATAAAAAAAGCTGATGACCTAATAATAAGGGAGTTAACAATTGAATTACCGATGAATAGCAGATGTAACTAAAATGATTACAAGATAGCAAAATTGCTTCCCATACAAAGCACATAATGATTTGGTGAATATGTTAAACTCAGTAAATATCAACTAATCACTATGCAAAACTTTGTATGTAATAAACAGTTTTTTCTTGATCGATAAAGTAAATGAAGGTTTTATCGGTTTTAACGAGCTTGATTTTCATCATGTGTGAACTGGGTCTTTCTCTTTGGTTTATTAGGTCTTTGTTTTTGAGTTGGTGGTTGCTCACATTAAGCTCATGGGTTTACGAATTACAGTGACCGAAGAACCAACCAATGGGGTGATTGTTGAAAGAGGATGACGTTGAGCAAAGGTTGTTGAGTGTTGGTACGTTGTGGGAGAGGGGGCGCCAGAGGGAATAGATCTCATGTGGATGAAGATCGCGAACAATATTCCGACAGGATGATGTTGGATGGGGTGGGGGTGCCGGTCAATAGGAAGGAAACAAAGTACAAACACATATTCTAATAAATTAATAAACAATCACATAGTTTGGGCTCCTAGAATATGGCGCAATTTCATAACCAGTCGGTGCGTCCGAATAATCATCGATACAATGATTATTCGATTCTTTTTTTTTTCTATATGATTTATTATATTACTACCCCTTCTACCACGAAATGAGCCACTTCAAACAGATTAATTACTCCGGCCCAGAATACGATTAATCCGGCATGGGCTACATGAGCCCCTACGCTCCTTTGAGACCCCAAAAAATGGACAAATCCCCCCTTATCACTGTAAGGACAACTATCTCTCGAGCACAGGTTTAGATTCAACCTCAGTAAGAAAATACAAATTCCCCACTGCTGCCTCCCGTAGGAGTTTGGGCCGCGTCTCAGTCCTAGTGTGGCTGATCATCATCTCGGACCATCTACTGATCATCACCTTGGTAAACAAAGACAGAAAAGGGTAATTTTTAATAAATTAATAAAAGACAGAAAAGGGTAATTTTTGATATTAAAATGGAGAAAAATATCAAAAAGACAAAAAAGACTCATTATTTAACGATTTTTTTAACAACATTAGTAGAAGGAACCAAAACCAAGCAAAACTGCAAACTTGATTGACAAATTTGTAATAAACAAATTCTGAAGGCCAAACGAGAAAATAAGAAAAAACACAGGGACCAAAAATGTAATTGAATATAATATTTCCCGCGAAAAGTAGGTGTAACAAACTTCCCATGGCAATAGGAATTAAATAAATTTTGGGAATTTGGATTTTAAAATCCCAAGATTTAATTGAAATATTATAAAAATAGAATTTTGAAATTTTTAGGATGTTTGGGATTTCGTAAAATTGTATGCAATAAGATATTAAATATTGTAAATTTAATCTAATATGTTTATTAAAAAATATAATATCATAAATTAAACATATTTACAAAAGATTAATATTTCACGAATAAAAATATTCATAAAAACCATTCCCCATCAAGTTCATTGTAAATTTCATGGCTTACTTTTTAATGCTAAAAACTAAACAAGTGGAACATCTAAAAAAAACCATACTATTCACATTCGCTTAACAATGATATTTAATCAAGTGGAACCGCCTACTACTACCTTCTCCATCTTTCTCAACAATATTTTTCCGTATGTTTGTTCAAAGTTATCCTTTCACCTGGTCTCATTTTTTTCGGGATGAGTTTTGGTCGTGATTCTACTTGAGATGATTCCTATTCAAATTAGTGAACAAACTAGTACGCAATTGATATATAAAATTAGTATGAAACTCAAAAATTAGTATGAAACTCGAAAATGAGGTGACAAAGAAACATGGTATAATGAGTAAATTTAATTTAAAGGGTTACACAATGCTATAACGGGTAAATTTTTGAAAGTACGATGCCCTAATAAAAAATATTTTTGAAACTGAATAAGAAAAACTGAAAGTACAATGTTATAACAAGAAAATTTGTAAAATTATGATGTTATTTCATGCATTTCCCATGTGTAACACGTTATCCTATGTGGCTTCCATGTCATTTTAAGTTTGACACATCAACAAAGAAAAACCTGTTCAAAAGATAACAAGTTACCTAATACTATAACGGGTAATTTTTTAAAAGTACGATGCACTAATAACTTTTTTTGAAAGTATATTGCTATAATAAAAAAATAGTATAAGTACAATGCTATAATAAAAAAATTTGTAAAAACAAGTTGCTATTAAGCAAAATTTACCCGATTCATTATTAATATTATTTTGATTCTTTTTAGGGGGACAACCCGGTATATTAATAATAATTTTAATTTTAAACCCAAATAAATAAAAAATGATTATTGAAATGTCACCAACGATCCTACACCAAAATGGTTAGAATTTGATTGTTATTATATTGCCACCAATGGTCGCTTCCAACTGCTCAACAACAAAATAGAGAAGCCGAGTTGACAATCAACGTTGATACTCCGCCACTCACAACCGCCGGCATTCTTTGAAGCCGGCTTCTCTCTCTATCTCTCTAGATTCCTTTGGATCAGGAGGTTGATCCAAGTTCCAGTTCATCAGATTAACAATATTCGTTGTTTGATTTGTTAATGTAAAATTGAATACGTGTATCGTTTTACTTTCCTTGAAGTTTATTGGATTATGGTAGAGTATTGATTGATTGCAGAAATCACTACTGTAAGTGCTCTCTCTTCACTTTCACTGTGTGTGTTGATTGATTAATCGTTGGATTGTTACTTGATTGATTAGCTAATTTTGGTAGAATAGAGTGTTTTTAGTTCGATAGTTTGGGATTACAAACCCACCTGCTTCTGTTTTGCACGAGGAATTGTGAATTTCAATTTTGTCTGCTCATATGATGAATCCATAATAGACTTTGGAGCATTTCTCCATATGTTGGAACCTCACTTATGGCTTTTAGGAGAGTAATCTGATAGGTTTCATATATTCTGGTATGGTGTATCAGAGCCAAGCTGTACCAGTTTAGGGACTAAAGAGACTACCATTTCTCCATAATATATACTGGAACCTTAGTTCTCTACTTAAGGGTTCTTTTGAAATTTAACATATTCTGAAAGATCTTGTGAGAAAGCAGAAAGTTGGGTGCTGCTACTTTAAATGTGAAAGGAGTGAAGAACCATTTCTCCATAATATATGTTGGAACCTTTGTTCTCTACTTGAGGGCCCTTTTGAAATATAACATATTCTGACAAGCATGGCCGGAATTGTAGGTTTTCAATGGACCAAGATGATATTGCAAGATCCTTGATCACCACGATTGGGAGTTTCATCCAAGATCGGTTGCTCGATCAGAGACAGAGGGCCCTGCAGAAGGAACAATGTGGTGAGAGATTAGCAGCCGAAGATGAGAGCAGTAAGAAAGACACAGAGGTTAGGTACTCCGATCAAGCAGTTTTGGCAAATTTGGATTGGGGTATGGATGCCCTAGAGGAAGCCATCAATACATCTAACCTTGAAACTAAGATAGCAAGACTCGATCATGCAGAGAAGATGTTGCAAGTATGTGCTATGTTGAATTCTACTGAAAAAACCGCTGGGGTTCCTAATTTCTATCTTTCGGCTTGGGCTCATCTTAATCTCTCCTACCTATGGAAGTTGAGGAACAACGCCACAAATGCTGTTCTTCATGTTCTTGAGATGTTTTCAGTTGACCCCTTCTTCTCAAGGATTGATTTTGCTCCTGAGATTTGGAAAACATTGTTTCTCCCTCACATGAGTTCCATTGTTGGTTGGTACTCAGAGGAAAGGCATAGGATTATGATGGACATGATTCCAGATTCAGCTGATTTGTCTTTCACCGCGGATTTCGATCAGTATTTTAATGAATCTTTGGTCTTTTCCATGAGGCCAGATCAAGCAGAGAAATTGCAAAACTTGGAAAAACATTATGGGGAATCGTTAGATGAAAATACCAGGAATTATGCGAATTACTTCAAAGATTGCATGAATTATGATCAGGCCACTAGCAAGAAAGCGATTCCTATGTTGCCAATTGCAGAGCCTCCTATGACTCCTCTACATGAGGTGAGCCAGAAAATTCCTGATTATGTGAGATTCGGTCCCATCTTACCTAAAAGTGCAGGGTTCTCACCAGTTCTAAAAGCTAACAAGAATGCAAGAGAAGCATCCAGGTTAGTTTTTGAGCCCAATTTATTCGAGAACCGTGAGAACCAATATATTCATTGATGCATATACAGTACTGATGAATTCAGTGAGTATAATCATCAATGCATATATACTGGCATACATAGTAGATATGGATTGATGAATATACTCAAATAAATATATACCAGTAGGCATCAATGAACATAATGTTTCTCATGTTCTCAGAATATTTACGGTTTATACAGGAACCCTCCTTGTTAGTTTCTTACTTTCTTACTAAACAAGGATTTTGTTTTTTTTGCCAGAGAAAATGATTACTTGCTCCCTTGCGCATTAATTGTTTTCTTATTCAACTTTGCACATAGAAGTACAAACTGATTCATTTTTGTAATCTGGAATGCAACAGTTTGAGTGCAACTCGCATTGCCTCTGAGAACCTAGAGGATTCTGCAGCATGGGATATTCAAGTAAGAAGATTAACATTTTAGTTGCATTTCTAGACTCAGAAGTGATCAATTTATTGAGTCAACATAAATTATACTACTGTTTTCCATTTACTCATTTAGGAGGGAATCCCAGAGGAAACTGATGAATCTGACTATGAACCTGACGAAGATAGAGTTCATAACATAGAATCACTTCCAACTGTAAAAATGAGCAAGGATTATAAAACTGGGCCTAACGGACACATATTGAAGGAGAAGAATCGAACGCTTTCTCCTGTAATTTCACGTAAAACCTCTCCAAAAGTTTCATCTTCAAAACAAGATGGAAATGATAAGGTGACATCTACCTTAACCCTACGGTCCACTCGAGCGATGGATTTTAAAGTTAATACTTCTTTGCCCACTTCACCACCAGTGTTCCATGACCTCAGTACTAGCTCAGCGGACTCTGATTATGAATCTAGAGTATGTCTAAATGAAATCAGGTTAAAGGACACCAAAAATGTCTAAATGTCACAATAGACTGCTTTATAGGACCAAACAAGTGTGTGTCCTATGTAAATGTGTTACAACGTTTTAACAAGTTTTTTAGGACAGTTTTTATTAGTCTTTTATATATGACATTATTCAGAAAAATGGTTGATCAAAATAAGTGTCCTATAAAGAGATGTGTTCATAAGTCATTTATCAAAAGTATGTCATATAAAAAACTAACAGAACACTTTATTTCGAAAGTGTCCTAGAAAACTTGTTAGGGTGCCCAAATATATCATAAGGACGCACAATTGATTGCTGCTATAAACTTGAGTATTTTAAAGCAGTCTATTACAAGATTTAGACATTTTTGGCCCCCTATAAGACCGATGTTGGTCTAGTGAAAACCTTTCTACTGCCTTTGTCTAAGTTATCAAAATTTGAACTGCTGGCTTATTGCTAATTGTGTCTTTGATGCTTAGGAGCAACAAGAAAGTGTAAAGAAGAAAGTTAATCATGAACGAAGTTCCAGTAATGCAGATGCGAAGAGCCAAGCATCAGAAAAGAGGTACCTTGAAGAATATGATAGTAGAAGCCCAAACTTTGGATCTCCCCAATCTTCTGAGAGGTCTACACTATCAAGGCCACCAAAAGATTTTGTCTGCCCCATTACTAGCCATGTTTTTAGTGATCCAGTGACCCTAGAAACTGGTCAGACGTATGAAAGAAAAGCCATTGAAGAATGGATGAAACGAGGAAACACAACATGTCCCATCACAAGACAGTCTCTTTCTGCCAATGAGCTTCCAAAAACTAATTACGTTTTGAAGAGACTTATCACCTCCTGGAAAGAACAGCATGTAGATCTTTCTCAGGAGTTATCATATCCTGTAACGCCAAGAAGTTATCATGGAAGCCCCTCCTCAAGACAAATCCAATCAAGAACATCAAATCTGAGTGATCATAAAGATAGTAATGATGATTCCAGCAACTACAGACCAAATAGATTCATGCAAGCTACAGTTGCAACATCACCAACCAGTGTGATATCTCAAGCTGCTATTGAAGCAATTATCAGTGGCATAAAACCTTTTATTACATGCCTCTGCACCTCAGAAGATTTGAAAGAATGCGAAGCAGCAGTTTTGACAATTTCTAGGATGTGGAAAGAGTCGAATGCTGATCCAGGGGTCCATGCTTGTTTATCAACCTCAAAAACAGTAAATGGATTAATTGACGTATTATCTGCTTCTTTGAGCAGAGAAGTTCTCAGAACAACGGTTTACGTTCTGTCTGAGTTACTAGTAGCTGAAGAAAGACTCATAGATATCCTAACAAATGTTGATCTCGAATGCCTGGCTGCTTTACTGAAAAATGGTCTTGATGAGGCTGCTGTCCTCATATATCTATTGAAACCCACATTCTCTCAGCTGTCTGACTTTAATCTAGTTCCATATCTTATTCAAAATATTTGTAGCAAATATGAAGATTCAAAGGATTTTGAGCTGGTGATGAATCCCAAGGATGCTGCGATAGAGTTAGTAGCACAGGTTTTAACTGAAGGAGATGAGAGTAGCAGGTCTTCTAATGCTATGAATGTTATGTCGGCGAATGCAGTTCCTTCCTTAGTCATGTGTTTGGACAAAGTGGATACGCGACAATCTGTTATCTATATATTACTGTGCTGCATCCATGCAGACAGAAGTTGCAGGAACATAATAGCTTCTAGAATCGACTTGTGCCCTGTTCTTGAACTATTTCATGCTGGAGATGAGTATGTGAGAGGCATGTGCATTGAATTTCTATGGGAGTTAGTTCAGTTGAACAGGTATATCCCATCTTCTCACTACAACAAAATCGGCTTTATAGGACATCAAAGATGTCTATAAATGTGCTAATAGACTGCTTTATAGGACTTAAATTTATAGGACCAAACAAGTTGTTCGTCCTATATAAAGGTGCTACAATAGGATATTAGGATGTTAGTATGTATTTGGACATCCTAACAAGTTTTTTAGGACAATTTATTAACATTTTTATAAGACACTTTTGATAAGTGTCCTATGAACACATCTTTTTATAGGTCACATGTTTTTAATAGAATATTTTTTCAAATAATGTCTTATAAAAAAACTAATAGAACGTTTTATTTCAATCTTAAAGAAAACAATTAGTTGGGCGTCCTATCAACTTAGTGTAACACCTTTACATTGCATGCACAATTGTTTGATCTTGAAAATGTAAGTTACAAAGCAGTCTATTAGGACATTTACACATTTAAGCTGATTTTGGTCTAGTGTATGTGTTTACCCTGAATCATGGTGGTTTTTGCTATACTTGCAAATTCCGTTTTCCATTTTGGCATGAAAAGATTCATGTGCATTTTGCCATGAGTGCATTATTAATCTTGTTATGTTGCTTCAGGAGAACATTCTGCAATCAGATTTTGCAAATCATAAAGGATGAAGGAGCATTTAGCACAATGCACACCCTTCTTGTCTATCTTCAAAGTGCTCCAATGGAGCAGCATCCTGTCACTGCATCCCTTCTTCTTCAGCTTGATCTCCTGGTTAGATAGAATTATATGTATTATTTCAATTTATTTATTGTCTAAAGAAAGGCCTGAAACTTGAATCATCTGTCATGTGTATTTTCTCTTTGTAGGTTGAGCCCCGAAAAATGAGCATTTATCGAGAGGAAGCAATCGAGACACTTATTGAATCACTCCAAAAAAAGGATTTCCCAAATTTACAACTTACGGTTCTTGATGCCTTGACATCTCTTTCAGGGCACCTTAGTGCCTCAGGGACGTCTCTTACTGAAGCCTGGTTACTTAAGCTGGCAGGATTCGATCAACCTTATGAAGATTTTGTGAACAAAGAAAATCTGGAAGTTAGTGAAAAAGAACTAATGGAGAAAACGGTTTGTACTTGAATTTAGGAAGAAACGGAAAGAAAGGAAAGGGAGGAAAAAGAATGGCAAGGAAAAGAAAGAAAATTTCTTATTTTTGTTACTGAAAGGGAAGGGAAGGAGTGAAAAGGAAACAGTTTTTAATGTTCTTGAATCTGAGAGAAAAGAAAGAAAAGATGTCATTTTTACAGATGCACCCTTTTATATTCGTTTATCTTGCTTTTCCTTATTTTACTTAAAAAGAAATTCAAGAACACAATATACTTAACATTAACATGAAACTTATTTACACATGGGTTTTTTTGTTTTCGCTCCTTTCCCTCCCTTTCCTTTTTTTTCCCTTCAAAACAAGGTTTTAAGAACAGTGTAAATTCCTCTGCCTCATTTCTAAAAAGCTTATGCTCCTTAATAGGATAAGGAGGAGGAGATAGCTGCAAGTTCTTGGGAGAAAAGGATAGCTTTTGTACTTTGCAACCATGAGAAGGGTCGTATATTTAATGCTTTAGAAGAATGTCTCAAGAGCAACTCCATTGATATGACAAAGAAGTGCCTTGCCACAGCCACATGGCTCATATACATGCTTTATAATTTGCCTGATACAGGCATTAGAGGAGTTGCACGTAAGGCTTTGCTTGACCAATTTATATACATTCTACAATCGTCTAAGAATCTTGAGGAGAAGATTTTGGCAACCATTGCTTTGAGAAGCTTCATTAGTGATCCAGGTAAAATCAGTCTCTAGCAATCTCCCCTCTGTTTTAGCCTAACATATATGGAGGTGGACATTCTTACAATTAGTGGGAGTTCTGTGGTTTGACTCTAGGCACCACACTACAACATCGGGTTTATAGGATGTCAAAAATGTCTAAATGTCTAAATGTCCTAGTAGATTCCTTCATGGGACGAGTTTATATATCAAAACAATTGGGCTTCCTATGTAAAAGTGTTACAATAAGTTTGCAGGACGCTTTTGGTCGTCTTAACAAGTTTTTTAGGACTATTAATAAAATAAAGTGTCATATTAGCTTTCTTACATGACACTTTGAGAAATGTCCTATGAAGACAGTTTTTGGCATCCTATAACCTGGTTGTAGTGCATCCAGCTGCCCCTAGGACACGCAATTTACTCCCTCATAATGACCGTGGGACCGATATAGTGGGGGCGCTTCAGAGGATGGCATCATACCCTACTCTGCAAAAAGTCATATATCTAACTCCTATATTCTTTTTCAGATGCTCTACATGAACTTGGTGGTTATGCTAAATGCATGTACAAAACCTTGAAAAAGCTTAAGAGGAGCTCTGTGGTAGTCAGTGACATAATGAAAACTTTGATGAATTTACCATCTGTGAATGCAGTGAGTGTGAACCTTCAATATGTGTAATTAAACAAGTACATTTTAATGTTATTTTTCCTGACTCGGTGAATTCCAGGAAGATTTGTGGTGTTCTTCAGAAGGGTTTGAGTTGGATACATCAATGAATGGGGAGGTTCTATCCTTGCTTAACATAAAAGGTCGGGTGATAAGCAGCCATTCTGATGGAACCATTAAGGTATGGACCTAAATAATTGTCAAAATTTCATCTCCAAATGTGCTAGTGTATCAACAGTTTGCTCGTTGTTTTTGAATGATCAACAAATTTAATACCGTGAGAATATGTGGAAATCTAATAGATAACTCCCCCTCCATTAGAGACTAGACATCGGGAGGGGCCAGACGAGTACAGATTGCCTCAAGGTGTCAAGTCCCTAGAATGATAGACCTTGGCTATGATACCATGTGAGAAAATGTGGAACCCCATTAGTTTACCCACCAAAAGAAAGAGAGGTTTCAATATATATTAAGGAGAAATGGACCATGGCCGATGTGTGACTTCTAACAAATACATTGATTTTGTTAGAGATTTAAACTGGCAATCTAAAGAGTTGATAACAATTAACTCTTATCGTAGTGCATATGCTTACTTATACTTCCCATCTTCTTGAATGAGTTTCGTTTTTCATATCTAGGTATGGGATACAGGTAAAAAGTCATTACGGTTGATTCAGGAGGTTCGTGAACATGCAAAGGCGGTCACATGCCTCTATATTCCACCTACAAGTGATAAGCTTTATAGTGGTTCCTTGGACAAAACGATACGGGTATGCTTATCTTTTTATTTTGTTTTATTCTTTTCTCTTGCCATGTTAGCAAATAGTAATGAGTTATATGCCATATCATTTGCCATGTGGTAACCAGTTATTACTTAAAATGGTTGCCCATGTAGCTCAAATGTTTAAGATATCACATCTCAACTCGAATGAAGTTTCTGAAAGTATATTACCCAAAATAGGAATCAGAACTAACCATACATTTTCATGCAGCTCATATGACAAATATGCTCTCGTAGAAAGCAAATAATAAGACTCGTTGTGGATTCGTGCACTTGCTTACTTATATATAATCAAGTTACACTAAGGGGTTGTTTGGTTGGTTTTCCATTAAGTTCTGAATGGAGAAAGCTGTTTGTGTGAACTAATCTGTCTGGGTAGACCAAGAAGGTTTTTATTTAGGAGGGTTTTTTATAGATGGAAGGAGTGTGCTTTTTAATTAGGAGGGGCAGGTTTGGAAAAACTTGGCTTTCTGCATAAAACTTCCTTTGAAGCTTACTGAATAAGCCACTATCTATATCATAAAGCCATTACCAAACAGTAATGTATAGCTGACCGAATAAGCTCATTAAGCTGCTAATAAACAGACCCTAATACTATTCTTCTGTTCATCAACAGATATGGGTAAACAAACCAGAAGGAATTCACTGTGTTCAGGTTCATGATGTTAAAGAGGTAGTCCATGGGTTGACAGCCGATGCCAATTTTGCATATTTCTTCTCTCAAGGTGCTGGAGTTAAGGTTAGATCTAAACCGAGACAGACTTTAAGAAAAAGTCAAAGCAACAAAACACGAAATAACAATGCGCGGACTAAATTACATCTTCTGTAGGTTTATGGATGGTCAGGAGTTATCAAGAACATTGGCATCAAACAAACGGTCAAGAGCCTTGCCATGATCGGCAATAAACTGTATTGTGGATGCAATGGTTTCAGCATACTGGTGAGTATTATTACCATCCTTTGCATAAAAATACATGTCCCAAGTTATTGAATATTTAGCCTTGACACCCATGCAAATCATTTTAAATCCTAATTTTTGGTAACCGTGGATGTCCGGGCTAACTTGTACGCACTTTGACTGATCCCTGTGGTGGGGCCCTAGAGAACAGCCAGAAAAGATAAAATCCCGAGTGGCCTTGGAGGGACTTGAACCGGTAACCTCTAGGAAAGAGCCCTAAAAGGCCCAAGCCTTTTAGTTCCCTTTCTGTAAACAAATAGAACACTGTTACAGGATGGGACAGGTCACGCAAAAAAACTTGTTGTTCCATGTTTGGTGCGATATTAGACTGTGACAGCCGACAGGACAGGGCTTGAGTGGGACAAAAATGCATTTTTTTCTATCCCACCAAAATATGTGGAACAAAAATCAAGGGGATAGATTAGCTCATTTCACAATAAGACTTGGGTCTTCAGGGTTCTTTCCCATGGGTCGTCTGTTCGAGTCCCTCCAAGACCGCTAGGATTTTCATGGATGTTATCTTCATTCTTCAGGGGCTCATAGGATTAGTCGAGGTACACGCAAGCTGACCCAGACACTTACCGTTACCAACAAAATATACCTACCTCATTCTAGCTCGTCCAGTCTAGTCTCGTCCGCATACCAAATTCATCCTGTGAAAACAAAATCATAACTGATAACTCTCGGATAGAGTATTAGAACGGAAAGATCAGAACAAATATGTTTTCGAACCTTCTCTTTCTTTAAGGAATCATTTGTGGCAGTCATAATCAAGTGAAAGTTATTCACTGAATCAATTCATACATCTCAGGAAGTGGATTTGAGGGAAAACACAACAACCACATTTTACTCTGGGGCAAGAAAATTCTTGGGTAAACAATCGATAAATTCGCTACATATTCAAGACAATCTTCTTTTCATGGGTGGTACATCAATAGATGGAGCAGCAGGAAAGGTGGTAAAAAAGAACAAATCTTTGTACATTAACTGTTCTTAACTACCAAAGTGGTGAGAAACTAATCTCTTTCCAAATTTCGGATCTTGGTAGGTATTCTCGCTATCGAGCAGAGCTGTAGTAGGATCATTACAGACGGGATTCGACATACAGTTGTTGGCTGTAAACAATGACTTCATATTTGGAGCCACAAAAAGTGGGATCATTGAGGTGTGGTTGAAGGAAAGGTTAACTAGAGTTGCTTCCATCAAGAATGCTAAAATCACATCCTTGGCATCAGATGCTGATGGAGAAATGCTCTTTGCTGCCTCTTCTGATGGTAGAATCCAGGTTAGAATTTAGAAACACTCTTTATATATTTACTAATCCAGCTGAACTTGCATATTTTCTGTTATCATGGTATTGATTATGACAGATAAAAGATTATCATATTTTGTCATTACTTAGTACTGTTTGGTTAGAAGTATTAACCGATAATTAATAGGAAAAAGAAACTGTTTGGTTTTATATAATATAATAGCTCCATTCCCTATAAACCCAAATTTGCATTCCCGGTGCTGTCATTTTCACCCCTGCATAAACCAAACTCCTACAAGTAGACCCAATTTTTTTTTCCAAGTGGTGGCACAATTTAACTAAAAAAAAGGCAAGAACATTTACCATCTTAGACATTAAAGTTTTGCACTAATATTTCAGTTTAAAAAACTATATGGTGACACTCAACAAAACAACACGGTCATTTTTTTTTTCCTTTTATGATAGAACCATGAAGTGGTGGTCCATGCTGCTCTATCATTCCATGTGGGTCCACCCCTGCAAACGCCCCCTTAATTATTTCTAGATATTTTGATTGCGTTATCAAAATATTTGTATGATATTTCGTGCAAAGCTAATCGTTGCAATATTTAAGGGATGGAGGGAGCATGAGATCATGAAAATTGCCGACTTTTTCTTCCTAGGATGTCTCCTAAAAAGTGTAATACTATATTGTTTAGGTAGATGCCTACATTTTATCCTTCGGACCTTAGCTCCGAGTGTTAATTGGATTGCACTACATGATTAAGTGACATGTTTGTTTATTTATGTTAGTTTGATTTTTTTTTGATTTCAGGGTTGGGATTTAGATTGAAGACGTGAGAAGAACGAACGTATAGATATGATTCCATCACACTTGTAGTAGTAAACACTACTCCTACGGGGTTGTTCGATTGTGACTTAATGAGCTGTATAAGCTATATGGTTGCTCGGTTGTCGCTTAGCATTGCATAGAGGAGGAAGAAAACAACATTCATTCTTTTATTTCCCTTTTTTTCCTTATCTTTAATACTTACCTCCTTATTTTATGCTTATTAAGTCATGATTCATAACAACCGGTAAGATCAAATACGGTTGATAGTATAAACCTTCGATTCAGACATTGAAATTCTTGAATGGCTACAAGAAAAACTCTGGTTCGCCCCATCTCCTCATCCCGACCCTCTTTCAGACGAATGAGCTTATCAAGTTAGTATCCCTTGCAACAAATAAATTGGGGGGGGGGGGGGTGGGGTTGAAAGTGATTTTACGATAATCAAGGACTCTTATTATAAATTTCGTACCTTATTTGAATTTCTGAATAACGTTTTGAATGATAAACCAATCAAACTAGTCAAAAACACAAGCAATTTTTCATGAACATGGAACAAACTAGTCATCTATGTTCAAACACCACAGCAAAAGAAACACATGTGATTAAGGCCCGTAATCGTTCCTAACGTCGAGCAACTAAAAATCCGAAAAAATCCATCGAAATTAAACAAAAAAACTCAAAAATGATGGAATTGGGGTAAAAATATATTCCAAAAGAAGGAATATACTAAAAATAGAATAACCATAAAAAATCAAACATGAATTTTTGCAAAGAAGAAGAAGAAGAAGAAATCCATTAATAGAAAGACGGCGGTTAAATAACCGAACACTTACAACCTCCTCCATTAACGTCGGACCTTAACTTCCTCTTTGAAATGTGACCCATTCCTTCTTCCTTCAAATAATCTCCATATCTCCCTCTCCATCATCTCCATCGCAATCCCTCTCTAATTCTCCCCAAAATCATGAGAGAAATCTTGAACATCCAAGGAGGTCAATGTGGTAACCAAATCGGTGCCAAATTCTGGGAAGTCATCTGCGACGAACATGGCATCGATCCCACCGGTCAATACACTGGTTCCACCGCCGATCTCCAACTTGAACGTATCAATGTTTACTACAATGAAGCCTCCGGTGGTCGCTATGTTCCACGTGCTGTACTCATGGATCTTGAGCCTGGGACCATGGACAGCATCAGATCTGGTCCCATCGGCCAGATTTTCCGGCCGGATAACTTTGTCTTCGGTCAGTCCGGCGCCGGAAATAACTGGGCTAAGGGTCATTATACTGAAGGTGCTGAGTTGATTGATTCTGTTCTTGATGTCGTTCGTAAGGAGGCTGAGAATTGTGATGCTTTGCAAGGTATATGATCATGTCCATTCATCTCCATATATATGTATATGTATATGTATATGTATATGTATATGTATATGTATATGTATATGTATATGTATATGTATATGTATATGTATATGTATATGTATATGNATGTATATGTATATGTATATGTATATGTATATGTATATGTATATGTATATGTATATGTATATGTATATGTATATGTATATGTATATGTATATGTATATATGATTATGGTCCCTGGTTACTGTTGATCTTTCTGTGTATTTATAGTTCGTCGGAGAGAAACCCATGATGTAATTTCAAGAAATTTGATTGATTTGATGTTGGGTATCAACAAGATGACGTTTTCTTTGTGGTGATATGTTTTGATTTAGAGATCTGTGAGTCGAAATCTTGTGGCAGGTTTTCAGGTATGTCATTCGCTTGGAGGTGGCACAGGGTCTGGAATGGGGACGCTTTTGATTTCGAAGATACGGGAGGAATATCCGGACCGGATGATGCTCACGTTCTCCGTTTTCCCGTCACCGAAAGTCTCCGACACGGTGGTTGAACCCTATAACGCAACACTCTCGGTGCACCAGTTGGTCGAAAACGCCGATGAATGTATGGTGCTCGATAACGAGGCGCTTTACGACATCTGTTTCAGAACTCTGAAGCTCACCACTCCAAGTTGTGAGTACCCATCTGCTATCATGCATCTAAATACCTACCTCATTCATCAATGAATGCAGTTTGTATTCATCAATGAATTGAAGTTACACAATATTCATTCATCAATGAATGCAGTGTATATTCATTAATGAATTGAAGTTACATAATATTCATTCATCAAAGAATGCAGTTTGTATTCATTAATGAATGCAGTGTATTTGATCAAAGAACATATTGCATATTCATTAATGAATTTACATGATACTAAACAATGAATAAAAGTTTGCAAAAATTGATTATATGATGGTTTAATTTACAGTTGGTGATCTGAACCATCTGATCTCCGCAACCATGAGCGGTGTAACCTGCTGCTTGAGATTTCCCGGTCAGTTGAACTCCGACCTCCGTAAGCTCGCCGTCAACCTCATCCCCTTCCCACGCCTGCATTTCTTCATGGTCGGATTCGCACCCCTCACCTCCCGTGGGTCGCAGCAATACATCTCTCTTAGCGTCCCGGAGCTCACCCAACAAATGTGGGACGCTAAGAACATGATGTGCGCCGCGGACCCAAGACACGGCCGGTACCTGACGGCCTCCGCCATGTTCAGGGGAAAGATGAGCACGAAAGAGGTCGACGAACAGATGATCAACGTCCAGAACAAGAACTCGTCTTACTTCGTGGAATGGATCCCGAACAACGTGAAATCGAGCGTCTGTGACATCCCGCCAACTGGGCTGAAGATGTCGTCGACTTTCATCGGAAACTCGACCTCGATCCAGGAGATGTTTAAGCGAGTTAGCGAGCAGTTCACGGCCATGTTTAGGCGCAAGGCTTTCTTGCATTGGTACACCGGAGAAGGAATGGACGAGATGGAGTTCACGGAGGCGGAGAGTAATATGAATGATTTGGTGGCGGAGTATCAGCAGTATCAGGATGCGACGGCGGAGGAGGATCAAGAATACGGTGGTGGTGGCGGTGATGAGGAGGGCGGGGAAGCAGAAGATGAGTGATGGCTGTGTCTGATTCGAAGAACAGCCATTGTTGATGCTACATACTACCGGCCCCCTTTATGTTCTGATGAATCCATGTCTCATATGTTTGTTGCAAGATTTATGTTTTCTTTAAATTCCCAAAGTCGAATGACCTTCAATTCAATGTGATTCTTATTCTTATGCTTTTGTTTAATGCAAGCATTTAAATAAGTTATAATTCCCAGATGCTGCCCTTTTTCTTTAATTCTTCCTCTAAATGCATGCATGCAAAACTTTACTGTAATTAAAGACATATATATATTCGATCACATATAATATATATATTATACAGAGTTAAGTTTACTTGAGACCAAACTGTTTTCGTAAAATATGTGAGACAACATTTTTACACTTGAAACTTCACAGCAACGGACGTTCAAAATTACATTCACAGTGTTTTGCTGTAAAGTTTCAAGTGTAAAAATGTTGTCTCATGTGTTTCACGAAAACAACCTTCTCTACTATGATCCTAGGTATATATATATATATATATATATATATATATATATATATATATATATATATATATA